TCGCACGTGCGACATCCAAACACAGCCGGCCAAGACTAAATCTTACTAACATTAAACCTCATTTTTTGCTTGAAATCACAAGCCAAAGCCTAATGTAACATGAGTTTACTCATTGTGGAAATTTCTTCGAGTATGTACAACACCATCTTTAGCCATCATCATGATATACTCTGCTCTCATATCACACCTTTTTAAGTCAGAGTTATGCCAGTTATTTTTAGTCAATAATCGTGAGAAAAAAATTCTTTTTTCAACCTTCAACAGGTGAAGTTAATTTTTTTCTTTATTTCTATGTATAGTAAATCCATTCTATTTAGTGCAAACAAGATTTTAAAAAATGGAACCATATGGCTAAGTGTCATAGTATTTATCATTTAAATGCCAAAAAAATTAAAGTGTTAGATTCTTTGATATGCTGTATTTTAGTTTTTTTATTACTCATCAAATTATAATGGAATTTTATCTAAATGTGCAATCAAATTTCAAACTAATCGGCTTAAAAGTGTTTTAATTATTCCATTAACCAATCATAAAACCAATATCAATTTTTTTAAATTCAAGTAAACAATAAAAAAACATAATAAATGTTTAAAATAAAATTTATTTTAATGTTGAGAAAATTTATCATAATTAATGGAAATAAATTTTTTCAATGTATTCAAACGACACTCTTGTATACACAGACAGTTAAGCTTTTATTTCTTGCGTAATAATAAAGCCGATGTACGATAACGTCTTTGTTATCAATGCAGCTTGGATAATGGCATTAAAACATCAAGGAGGTCAGTTACACCAATATCATAACGCAAGGTCATTGCGGTAGGACCATATCGTACAGCTGAGTATATTTATAACTTTTAATTCGGTTATTAAAATGAAACTATAAAAATTCATATCTATATGTATTGAATAATAGCATGTAAAAAAGATATTATTACATAATGTCTTAGTACGCTATTATAAAATAATCCAGTAATTACCTTAAAGAAGGTTGAAGAAGAAATATTACAGACAAATCAATATGCGGTTAAAGAAAGAATGTACTATTAAACAGACATCTTCTTCTATCACAGGCTTATAAAATTGATGATGAAGATGAAAATTTAGTTAATTCAATCCATTGCAATAATTGATAGCTTTCTATGAATTGTGAATTAATATCGATTGTGTATTATTTTATATATGTATATATAGCATTCAATTCAACGGATAAAATTCAATGATATGTTATTGAATCTGAAATATGATGCAAATGTAAATTCCATTATTGTCAAAAGTTTAATCATTTAAAAGTTTAGTGTAGGTTTTATCTTTATCCGATAACTAAATGTTTTTGTAATTATTATCATTTAAAAAATAGAGTCCAACAAATATATATTATATTCACTGCTGCTCAGAATAAGCTTTCGTATATATGTCAAGGTCATCCGAATCGATAATTAAAATTCCAGAAATTTTCATTTCACTGATTCCATTAAAATAGATTATTCAATTATTATTTAACTTTAAATGATTATCTATTTAATGAGGGAATAAAGAGATTTTAATCTCTTTAATACTTCTTTGAACAGTAATTTTTAATATCACACGTAGTTATGAATGATCGATCAAGCGTTAGTTTTTTTTTTTACTCTCAATATTTATTCACAATTATGATGTACAGAAGCCTTGTTCATTCTTTCATGTACAAAAATTTTAATCGATAATGTTCACGCGATATTATTCAACTGTAAGAACATTGTTTAAATATTTTCATGACGTAAGTAATGGAATAAAAAAAAATAAAAAACGTGTTAAGATCGCGTGATGACATCTTTACAGGTTGAAGTAGTATCAATCATAAATAAGTCAGTGAAAAATAAAAATGATGAGAATATATGACTTAAATATTAAACGAATGTAGTTTACGTTTTTTATTATGAATTGTCATGGATACTAATAATCTATGATAACAATTGCTGTCATAGTTAAATATTTAAAAATAAATTACTTAAATTTATGATATAAAATTTTTTACAAACAATTACATTCCTTTTTATGTTACACATATTGGAATAAAAACTGACCTCATTTATTCGTATATAATCATAAACTTTAGATAAATTAATATATTATTTCGAGGTTAAAAAAAATAGTGATTAATATTATTAAAGTTGAAAATAATACTTCTTATCTATTGACTTCATTTTAAAAACATTGCTTCTCAATACGAAAATAACATCACAATTTTTTTACAATTAAATCATGCAAAAGAATGTTTATTGTTATGCACGAACCGTTTTTCAAATAAGTTATATTATGACAAGAGCAAAAGTAGGCCGTTGGATCCCAGTAATAAATCAGCAAACTGGCTGTGTATGATACGATCAAAACATTATATTGATAGGTATATTAGAAAACAGAAAGATAAAGTACCAACGAAAGAAAGAAAAAATAAAACATGAATCTCGACGTTAATCATATTATTTAATCCAACCTGTAGCTGTTAGTGATTCAGCTAGATTTTCTATTTTACTCTCAATATTTTTTTTTTCTGAATCTGCTTCTGTTTTTTTTTTGGTGCACTCGTCGACGCGTGACTTTCGCGGGAAACGTCAGAGCTACTTAGCCAAGCGTGACGTTGTACTATACAACAGTGGCACAAATGGAATCGAGAGGTTTAGAGGTTTCGATAACGGATTACACTACAGAAGCAAGTAGAAGAGTAGCAATAGCCGATGGATACAATCCTCATAAGAGGATAAAACATGGATGCTTAATAATGTAAGTGAAGTTTAATCTCCACTAGACACGCCAAGAGTTGAAAGCGAAGTAATCAATTTAGTAACAAGAGAATAAGGAGAAGAAAACAAGAACCGTTCATCCGATCGCAGAGTTGGTTCGCCAACCTCAACGAGCGATCGTTCACCATGGCCTACTGCCGATGTCGAACAATAGAAGTTCTCCTATAGCGGAAAATAATCAACGGGGTCCATGTGCAAATAAAACTAAGATGGGGTCGACTAAATAGGAATACGAAACCAATACCAATAATCAAGAAGAAATGGTACAGCATACATCTCTCCATTGGCCTTTATTTACCTTTCTTTTTTTTATGGCTTAATAAAGCATATCAAAATTATCTCACTCATCAAGTAACGTATACTCATTATTTGGCTAATTTAATAATTCATCTTTTGATCTTTGTTCTTTGAGAAAAAAAATTGCTGTGGTTAGGAAAAAATTTCTCTGTAAAGTTTTTTAACAAGCATCTTGAAAAATGAACAAGAACGTACAAGAGCATCGCCTGTTAGTTGTATTGTTGTCAGCTGATTGTGAAAGCCTGCAGCTATTCTTGAAAGGTTTATACTTTTACTTTTTTATTACATTTTTCCTTCAAAAAGAGACTAATCGTTGAAGAATACATTATTCTAGTTTCACACATTTACATATCATCTTAAAAATCAATCCTAAACTAATGACACCAAACATGTTTGTGAAAAATATCTTAATTGTGAAATATTAAATCATTCCATTTATGTTAAAAAAAAAAGTGTCATCAGCTACTCTATTTCTCCCAAGTGTCCGTTACAACAGAAATAACATCAGCCACTTGAACAATTATCTCAAAAAATACTATGTTGAATGTGATACTTGACGTATATCTCAACAGCTAGATCCTATAATTTGTTTTGCAACTTTATTTTTAATTAGTAGGCACATATTGGTCTAAACTCTCTTATCAGAACAATCTTCAGCTCAGAAATAAAAGAAAGCAACAAAAAAATGAGTAGCTATTAAGAGAGAATATTCAAAGTCATATATACTCCATCATCTCGTGTATTAGTGCAGATATATTGTGAATTCTAACGTGAATTAGGCATGAGCGTGTTTGTACCGTAAATCGGTTGGAGTTTCCGCTGTCAGCTGACTGAAAGTCGTAATATAAACTCAACATTGCCCCTTTTCTCTCTATTCGCCTTTATCTTGCTTCTCGAAACACGGATCGTTTGTACTCAGTCGGATGAAACAATGAAAGTCACAAGTCCTGTACCAGAGGGTTTTAGATTTTGGAAACCAGTTTTAATCCTAGATTTTGGATCCAACTGCAGTTTATTCCAGTTAATTTAAACTGAGAGAGTTTATCTTACAACATAAAACTTTAATTGTTGAAAATTGATTCCTATCTCGCTAAGTAAATATTTTATTATGTTCTTGAAAAAATAACTCATATTAATAAACGTTAATGTGTTCACCTTTTACTTAATTGATAAAAAATAAGCTGACTAATTCTAAGGGGGAATTTACATCAAATGGATTTAAATTGATCAGTATTGAATATAATGGAGCGTTAAAAAAAACACTAGAAGCTAATTGATGAGGAAAAAAATTCCATAAAGACACGAAAAATAATCTAATCAATTAATTAAGGTCTATGACATGTTTTCATAAAGAACAAATGAGTTTTAAATGTCAGATATTGTGGAGATATTTTTCTCAAAACAACTCGACTATTTAATGTGTCAAACTTCACATAATCAATTATGTAAGTAAATAAAAGCTTAAATAATAATAAAAGTTCATTAGTTATCATTTAAAATAATCAATAAATAACGGTAATCATAAAATTCTATGATGTATATAAACAAACGCTATATATTTATATGAAATCAACAGCTTGGCAACAGCAAGAACGTAAGGGACAAAGGCATCCTTTGCCTTTTCATGCTCCGAGAACGATTCTCTGTTCGCGGTGAAATAAGAAAAAAAAGGAGAAGAGAGCAGAGAGAACACTGCATGTCTCTTTAAAAGAAAAATCATGATGAAACAAGGCGAAGGGTGTTTTATAAAAAAATTTCACAAACCGGTCACTAGCTAAACTACTCGTCAGCTGACGAACTCAGCTGAACAGAGAGAGACAGAGTAATCAGTGACCCAATCATTGACTTCAAATTAAATAGATTTTGCACGTTAATTATTGATCATTTTAATCTAGAAAAAATACATAAATATTTTCTTACTTTGATATGCTGTGTAGATTTGTGTAGCTGTTGTTGATTACCAGGAACACACAGTTCTCGCAGAGCAATAACTTTTTAAACCCTCTCACAATGGAATCTTCCAGTAGACTGAGTGAGCCGGCGAGCTATTCCGTTCTACGAACACACTCGTTACACGATAAACGTATCTCTTCATTACAATTAACTTACGAATGATACTTAAATAAAGTTTAGTTTTTTTAAATTATGAACAATATATTAATGATTTTAATCAACATCAAATCATTACAACTTTTAATTACAGAAAAAAAAGCAACCAAATAAGTGCCGCTGACAGTTTACGAAGCTGTCATTTTGTGGCTGACGCCGTCACTTCTGCCATCTTGCAGCAAAAAGTATAAACATTAGCAAGTTTGGTTGAAGACGCGGAACTCAAATCACTTAGTAACAAGATCGATCTGTTTTCATCATATTTTATGTACGAATTATTGAATTTTTCAAGACATTTATCTATTTCTGATAGTACGATTATTATTCACATTAGAAAGTAACTATTCAAACATGATAACATGTCGTGAATTTCATTTTTAGATACATCATTTGTAGGTTATTTGGAAAGGTACGCTTATAAATTTTTAAGTTGTTTTAATGATATTTTATTGAGAATATCATTTCTGTAATTAATAAAAAAATACAGTTACCCTTGAATTTGAAAATATATAAAAAATAGTTGATATTTATGTATCAAATGGTTTAAAAACAAAGTGTGTAATAAAAAAGTATCTAAATAGTAAACTTGTATAACAAAGCAATAATATTACACAATTAGATTTTTAACATTGATATTTTTATAATGAATATATAGTACATATATATACATAAAAATATTGAATGAGCTGTCCTCTACTACTATAAAGATATTTAATCTTTAATAAAAGATATTACAAATATTTATATAAATGAATAACAATAGAAATAGATAATATTTACTCGTAAATAGTAACAAAATAAACATTCATTCCACAATTAAAATGGCATAAAAAAAAACAATTTAAAAATATCTACTATTTATAAAAAGAAACCCTATTAAACAATTATATGTACAATAACTAATTTATAAAATTATTTTTAACTCATAACATTATAGTTACACTTCATATTTTTGGTTTGGCTAATCCGAAGTCTTAGCTTATATTAAAATATTTTGTAAAATATAAACATATATCCAAATGAATGCTTATAACATTTAATTAATTTTTAAGAATGTTCCATAAAATATTTAAATTTTAGATTAGATATGACAAATTAAAATGCATGAAATTTTAATGTAAATTAAAAACAAAATATAATCTTAACCTTATATTTTTAATATAATCATAAAAAAGAGTTTGCAAAAATTGATAATTGTGTTAAAATAAAATATTCACGAGAATCTCCGAAATTAACATAATCAAACTTTATCAACAATATTTACTAAACTTTCAGACTTGATAGTAGAAATTAAGATTTATAATCATAATTTGCCAGACTGCTGATTGCGTTTAATGAAACATAAAACAACACATTAAAAGTAGATAACTTTTTGTCATTCACTCCAATCTTTGTTTCAACTTCAATGCTATTGCAGCTACAATTGCAGCACCCTTTCCACTTCCATCCTGAGTCTGAATTAGTTTGAACTTAAAATAGCAAAAAATTATTATTAATACTATTTTAAATTAATTATTATTATTACATTTTTAAGTCATTATTGATCATTTACCTTTCTTGCAGGTGATAACAAACTAATATATTGATTCATCCAACTTTCAAAACGAGGATGATGTTTATAGAGAGACCCATCAACTGCTATTGTCACTTCTTCACGTTCCATGTGATCCAAAAGGGTTGCTAAGCCTTCAACATTATTCATTATACATAGTTTTATTATTTAAAAATTCATCAATTATTTAGAAACGTGTTAGCATATAAGTACTTATTTTATTGCTACTTACAAATAGATACGAGAAGAGCTGCACGATTTGAGGCAACTTCACAAACATATTGAACAATTTTTAAGTCTTCTTCGTCAGGTACTATATCGAACTTAGCCAATACTTCTTTTGTATTAGAACCACCACCATCAACAGTGTCTCTGAATTAAAAAAAAATATTAGATCTATTGTAAAAAAAATAAGTTAAGTAGAAAAATTTTGCTACTCACTGTTCAATAAGGGATACATAATCTGTTAAGAAACTTCCTACTGTAAGCAATTTTTTTGGAGTTTCTCTTGTAAATAATAAACCATCCTTCAATAATTTAACAAGAATTATCCGTACAACTTCACCGAGATATTTCCCACTGATGTATTTTTCAAACCTGAAAGAAAGTTTTAGCATGAAAGCATTTCCTATGGTTGAAGTTGGAAACATTAACCAAGTTAAACTTACGTGAATGACTTGACGAGTAGAGAATTAGCATCATTTTCACGATCGAAATCCGTCTTAATGAAATCTAGCACGCCATTATCACCAAAAGCACCCCATTCGATATCAATAATTACCTAAGTAAGTAAAGTAATTAATTTAATAAATTGTTCATGCAGATATTGAATAACTTTGAAAATTAAATTTATTCTCATGTAACTTATTTACCTCTCTTTCACCGTGTCTTTCAGGTTCCCAGTGCTCTACTTTATCAGCCCGCTCAAGATAACAAGCATTACTTCCTGTGCCTAAAATAAGACCAATTGCAGTATTTGGATCCTGAGTAGCGCCTTGAAGAAGTGTTCCAGTGGTGTCATTGAGTACAGCTACCACTTTAACCCTTGTATCAGCACGTCTGGCGAGAGCATCTTTCAATAATTTAACTGCATCTTTATTTACTACATCTGGACAATTAAAGCTTTTTGTCCATGTTAGCAAAATACCCGTTTCCAAAGAATGCTGAATCATCGGGAATGAAAAAGTGAAACCTATAATATTTTGAAAAATCATCAGTTAAATTTGTAAATAGATGTTTTTTAATCCACGTAAAAAATTCTACACTGTATTTAAAATTTTTTTTGTCAAGAAATTACTCCCAAAAAATAGAAGATTACAAGACACAGTGTTTAGAGAGAATAATTATATTAAATTACCTAGAGGAAGTTCTACATCTTGAAGACCTTCGCTTATAACGAAGTTGCTGACGCATTCTGCAAGATATTCAAACAATGGGATACCCGAGCCGGTTCTCAAATGAGCATCAATGTGATATTTTTTTACATCTTCTCGTACAATAACACCATTGACTAATTCTATTAGGAGAACTCGAAAATTAGTGCCTCCTAAGTCTAAAGCCAGGAATAATCCTTCTTCTGCAATAAGTCAGTATTTTTAAATTATGAGTAAATTAAATAATTAAGTTTTCAAAAAATTTTTATTAGAGAAAAATAACTAATTTGTACCTGTTCCATTAGGTAATTCTGGAATATATGTGTTTTCCATTTGAAGAGATGAAGGCTGTTGATGAATACCTTTATTCATTTCTGATCTAAAGATGTCTTGGATTTTCCTTGCAGTTGCAGCTGAAAGTCTCATCTGTACCAACGAGTTTTCAATCTGAAAAATCATAACAGGCAAGGTGATTAAGCAGTGCATTATTACCAGTGCAATTACAAGGTAAGTTGAAAAATAACAAAATAAACAGAAATTTTCCGAGAAAAAATCTAGACGCAAATTGCAAAAAAATTGATTTACTTGGTAGACAAACAAGTCATTACTTACATTTAGTGATTAAAGTAATATTAGAGAAAATGATCCGGATTCGCGAAATATACTTCGTAAGTCATTTATGACATAAGAATTTGTTTGTTTGAAATTTGTTTTTACAAAAATCCATCGTTATATAACGAATAATCAGTACAATACGAAACAAAAATCATGATATCAATGAACTTATATAAAAAATTTAAATAAATAAATTTATCTTGATTGATTTAATTCAAAGAATCATCATAGAAGTCAAAATAAAATATGAATATTAAACGTTTGAGAACGTTCGGGAAACGTCTTATTTTCGTTGGGTTTCTCCCTTATTATCTCCCTTCAATTCAAAACTTATCAATCTTTTTTTTTCTTGGAAATTCTCATTAATAATATTTTCTCTCATAACTTATTAATCATAACTTCAGTATTATAATTATTGCATCCAAGTTGATTATGAATATTGCAATAAATGACCATAACGATTTGATATATGAACAATAAATTATCTTAGCAAATTTATTATTCAGAGTAAGCTGATCGAGTCAGGTACTTAACTACACAATCAAAGTCTAATATTTTTTACAAAGAAATTCACACATTAAACATCAATGTATGATTAATTGATCTTTTCATACGTCGTTAACATTGCTAATTATTATAACAAATTTTATTCAAAGCAATTTCCTCCGTGTGATGATTTGAATAAGTTTCTTTTTTAAAATAATTTTTTACATATTTAACAGTTAATGGTATTTCAAAAAATCGATTATCATAAGTTAATTGTTGCTAAAGTATAGCCTCAACCATAAAATAAATAATGCATAATGGTTTAATTATCACATGAATTCATACATAATTCTTTGACGTCACGTGAATAGATATCGTAAGACTAACTTAACTAGCTTACAATTGATGATACTCTTTTTTTTTAATGAGGACTTCGATTGTATCTGAACTTGTCAGAGTTAATAAGCGAGCATTTTAAAATTTATCTGCTGTTAGATTACACTTGACCAGAGTATTTGAAATAATTGCAATTTTTCTAATGAAAAAAAGCATATTGTACAATTCCTAGAATCTAATTACCAGATAATCATACGTCATCATTTTATTATTTCAGTTATTTAATACGCCTACTTTTTTATTTATTAAACGTTTATTGGATTTTATTATCTGACATTTTAAAAAATTAATTCTGATGAAAAAGAAAGCTATTTTTTTCATAATTATCCTGACAATAATATATCTTTTAAAGTACAATTACATTTAACTTCATTATGCAAAAAACAAATATTCCTTATATATAAATGACAATGATTTTATTTTATTGAGGAAATGTTAGTCAGTAAAAATATTACTCTAAATTAAAATAAAATAGAAAAAACTGGACAGGCAAGATGAGATGGTGAAACATAAGAATGAGAATGTCGTTAGAAACCGTTCGAGGACAGGGGCTCGTTCCAAGCACAATCTCTCATTGGTTAAAAAACAAGCTGGTATGTCTGAGAGAATTTATACACACATATGTTTAGACATAGTAGTTTGTGAATTATCTGTCACATTTAACTAGTACTAGTTCAATGGAATGATAAATAATCGTCATGAAATGTATTTTATATTGGAAAATTTGATTACAAAATCTTAGCATCATATTTATAAAAATTAAGATTTAATTGTATATCAATCAGTCAACTAATTATAATACATTCTGATAATTATTATAATAAATAATTCCAAGTGTCAGTGCTATAAATATTCAATATCGATAAGGAATAAATTACTAGGAAAACCAAACGATAGTTTTGCAGAAACAGATGGTTTCTTAACAATTTTCAATTAATTTTCTATGTTTATATTTATTAAAAAATTATTTAATTGGACTTGTATCTTCGATGTGTTAATATAATAAGCTCTAGATGGTCCAGTGAACTCAGAAAATAATTGATACCCTTTTGAAACTGCATCGATGATAACCTCAAGTTCATGGTAGCAAAATCACCAAGATTATTTAATGACCTATTAATTTCTATATGATAACCTCATTCATTGAAATATCAATGAAATTGAAGAAAATTATCTGCCGAAAAAAATTTTATTTCGACAATTCAGCATTTATTAAGAGCTAAATCTTCTCATAAAATAAATTTCTTTAAAATTAAAATACTTTGGAGAAAATGTTTTCTTGAGAATCAAGTGGTTGAAAAACTCATAAAATTTTTATCAGGTGCTTGCATTTATTAACGATAGTTTTACTACTGAAGTAAAAAGTATAATCACTTAAAAATTTTTAACGATCTTTTATGAATGTGTACATACAATTATCAAGAACAGAGTAAAAATTATTACTCTATTTAAAGATTGATCAACAAGATTTAATTTATCAATTTTTAAAAATATCATCAAATATTAATTAAAAGAAATGAACAAAATACTTTAAATCAACTTTTTGATGTTTGTAGCATGAATATATTCACCAGTGCCCTAGCCTTTATCACTTCAGACACTTAGGCTTAATTTATGAAGCGTCCAACTGAGTTATTATTAGTACATCAATATAGTAGAAGGGTTCTCGTAATAATGGATTGTGTCTATAAAAGCGCTATAAATTCTATATCAAACATTTATAAATCTAGGACTTAACATTTTTTATTATATTTACCTTTTGACGTTTGACATCATCCGTAAGACCCAGTGGAGCTACTTGGATAGCTTCATGGAGAATTCTTTCAGCAGGCATCATGATGTTTTAATTAATATCAGTCAATAAATCCTGTATGAAGAAATTTTTAATTAATTATTTGAATTTCATAAATTAAACTTTTGAACATTCAATTAACTATTTAATTATAAAATTTGATTATTAAGACTCATGTCTGTTATCAAGATTGAAAAAGGCTTTGTTTTATCTTATGATCCTTGATTATAAAACATTCTAAAAGTGTACGTCAATATTAGTAATCAGATGGGCGCCCTGATATCTTTTTAAATCATCATATTTGTTTCATCGAAGCCCGCAGTTTATTCGTTGTTACACTTGTTACATGGTTGATGAACAATAACACAACAATCAAGGAGACCTATTTTATTTTTAGGATTGATATTCAAATGATGAAATACGCATCAATACATCACAATGGCTTTTTTATCAAATTCTAAATATAAACTAATTGAAGAAGAAACCCAAAAAAATCTTGATAAAATTTGTCTGCTTAAATAAACAATAGTTAATAGAAAAAGTACTATCTAATGTGACATGGGTAGACGAAGAAACTAGTTGTTATCAGAAAAAATTTAATTAAAAAATAATTAATAAACAATTGAAGACTGAACAAAACAATAATCAATTAAAAAAAAAGTGTGTAAAGAAATAATTAAGTGATAGAAATTTTTTTTATTTGAAATTAATGAAAAAGAAAAAAAATATGACGCAACAATTTAATCTAAGTCTATTTTCACAATTACAGAGAAAGATCTACTGCAACATGGCTTTTTCAAATCGCCGCTTCGTTGACATAAGTGATAAGAGTTAGTAGTTGAACAAGTTTTAGATAGAAATTTTATCAATCGATTATTTATACAGGCCTACGTCCAAAAATTTTCGTAACATATCATCGATCTATATAACATAATTCTTATATGACTCATTAGTAGAATATTCAATTCAATTATAATTCAGAAAATTCTTGATGTCACCGCTACTTATTAATAAATCGAAGCACATTGAAAATCATAGGTAATTATTTCATTAAATGTCAATCATGAATAGAGTTAACACATTGTGGTACAAACATGTATGATAAAACACATCAACTTATCAAGATTTATTCTTTGAGTGATTAAATAAACTTGCGGCTGATGAAGAAGTTTCATCAGAAATTGAATTAATAGTTGCGTTTTATTCAGACAATTAATTGTCAGCACATCTTAAATATTTGTAATTACTACAATTTCCTTATATAGTGAGCAAAATAAGTGATCAAATGAAACCACTCGTGCTTAAATGGCTTTAAACGAGTAGTCGCAATGATCAAGTAGCTAGACGTATTCTATTAAATGACGAAAACTTGATGTGTCATTAAATTATTTAATTAAATATTAATAAATTAAACTTATTACTCATCTATAAAATTATATCTAAAAAAATTCACTGATATTTTAATTATATATTATAATACACACATCTACAATATATAACTTAAAAAAAAAACGATATTTTGATTACTTTATATCAAATTATTTCGAAAGACTACTCCTCACTGAATACTATACAATTTGGCTTACGTATACGTAAGCTATAGCTATAGCTATGGCTATAGCTCTGCGTTATTTAGTCTAATCTTCCTGTCACTATAAGCCGAATATTGTATGATTATATATCATAAAGACGGGTGATAAGATGGAAAGAGAGAGGAAAAAGATAGTAAGAAGCTCCATTGTATATACTTTGAACAACTGAAGAAGCGAATAAGCCTCGATTGAAATCAATTGAAAGGTGTAAACGTCAGATATGATCATTTAGCCAGTTGACCTGACCAAGCTATTCTAATTTGGTATACATATCACACCAACTCGTTATTTAACACTCCACAATTATATCAAATCTCACGACTATTTTTATAATATACGTAAATAAAAAAAAAAAAACGATAGAATAAAACTAAAAATTGAAAAAAATCTACGATCATAAACACAGACGATGTGGTTTACTTCCGCAAATACATATGTATATTTTATGATTGTATATAATCACATTTGACGTTTATAACAGATTTGATGAAAGGATGTTGAAAAAAATAATTGTAATTAAATATTAGAGTACCATCTAGCGATTTTTTTATCTTGATACTGCGAAAGAGAAGAAAATAAGAAAATAAAAAAATCATTTTTGTACACAAAAATAACTCACGTAAGAGGATAAACGCACTTGAGATAATCAATCATATTCGAATTTGTTAATCAATTATGTTGAAATTTCCAAGTTATGCAGTTGATTAAAAATTTTTTTTTTTCAGTTACGTAAATTAATATTTATCGCTATAGATTACTATAACAATGTGTCCTTGAAAGAAAGTGCAAAATTATCACTTGGAATAATAGAATTTAATTTTGAAATTCTAATAAGTAATTATTAATTTACTTTCTGAAAATGTTGGATTTAAAATTAGATTTTAATTAATAAATGAGTGCTTTAAAACAAACCAACATAAAACATTCGAGTAACAACATTACTTAAATACTCATTAAAATTTTTAAGAGTCTAATCACCTGTTGCATTGGTAATTATAAATACCAAGAGATTAAATAGTTTTACAAATGTTTCATGAGTGTATGTATGAGTTAGGGTAAATAAAATATATATATATATACACAAAAAATGTAATCTTACCTGAAATGAATTTATCACTACTGAATTTACTCAATATCGGAGTGGTGGCACTCAGATCCACGTGCCGTTCTCCAAGATTGAATCGTTGTATTGAATGTCTTCACGTAATAAGAAAATATCTGATTCCAGTAGTTGCTGATAACAATATAGAAAAATAAAGAAGCAACTTCTCTAAATAAAAACTAGTTTTCCCTCTTGTAGTTAACGCGTGTATATACTATCCAGATGGAAACTAAATCATTGAATGTGAACGGCATCACACACTGCATTGGCAACGAGCCTCTAGAAGTGGTCGAGCCTCCATCGAATCCCCACTCCAATGTATTTTAACTGACTTCGAGAACTCTATACTCTTTCCTTCAATGATAAGACTGGTTTTAAATATAAAAAATTACGAAAAATGTACACAGACACATATTCTCCCGAACATATTTTAAATGTAATATACAAATATATATGTTCTTATAGTAGAGTAGGCTAAATATACACGACTGAATTGTTAAGTTCAAAATGAAATGACAAATACAATATTCAATATTAAAATATTTTATGTTCAATAAGTATCTTTTTAAATGAAAAAGAAAAAAAAATTACAATTTTCGAATATATTAATAAATATTAAACTGTACAATATTTATTTTTTCACACTTTTTGTTTTAGTGTCACAACAGATTATAAAGTTTTTTCTCTGGGCATATCATTTCTTTTTTTTTTCATTTATAATTCGGTTCCTTCGAAATTTACGTAACTCAATTGGAGGCTGGGTCTTTTATCTACCATATGTCTGACTATTCATTAACAAAAAACTAGTTTCATTTTGTTATCATGCTTCCTTACTACATTTATTCTACAAATTGAAGAGATGTAAAATAATATTTTTACTTCATATACTATTTCAATAACATATACATTCATTTTCTGTTGAATTCATATATTAACAAGAACTTGAATGACACATTATAGTAATTCTTGGCTAATTTACGAATTTAAAATGCATATTTTTAACCTGGACTTGTATGACAAGTCTGTAGTAAAATTGAATAGATTTAAAACTTGTTTCAATAATCTCGATCGCGCAACCACTTTTACATTTTTATTAATCTCTTTAAAAACTAATTTCTAAATTGTCAACATCATCTCTGATATATTATTTTAAAGACAATTCATATTCAATTAATAAAAAATCATTTATCTGTTCATTGCACTTACACAAAGACCAAACATGAACTTTGTCCATATGAGGGACAAATAATTTATCTTTTAATATTTCATGAGAAATGAAAAATTAGAACATTTTAAGATTATATTTTTTTATATAATTTTATTTTTCTAATAATTTAACAAATTTTCCATTTCAATGATTATAAAATTTTTATTAATCTTACTTTTAAAAAATCTTTTAACTATCAATATTTATTACTATTACAAGATCACTCTTTAGACAAAAAGACTGAACAAGTATAATAAATGTTTCGGTCAAATTCTTAGAAAACACTAGTCACTCAGGTAGAAGATCATCACCTAATTCTTCATCGCCGAAATCTTCCTCTTTTTTTCCAGCAGCTGTCATCGGTCGAATTGGTAGTGGTCCTACAGGGTCAACGTAGAATATATCTTAAATAATAGAATGAAAGACAATTATTTATCGCATTTTTATGAACGTACATGAGTTAAAATAGGCTACAATAAGAGTGATATATAGTGACTACAAATAGACGGTACAAATCAGTTGAATACATCTATCATCCATTTAATCCATTAAGGTAATACGCGCAATAGGTGTACATCATTTGTGTTATGCTTAGCCTTTTAATATCACAGAAGAAGTATACCATAAATTTCAACGTAGATTATTTGGACATAGTACATTTTTATTATTTTTATGCATCAATAATTTTTTCTAATCATTATTGGTGTATTATCATTTTTTTTTTTTTAAAATAACAAGTCTACATTTTCTTCAATAATAAAAATTAACGACTCTTGGTCATTAAATCATTAACTCATCAAATAATTTATACCGAACGACTTGTTAGTTTGCATTGTTAATTGAAATATCTTCGATGGATAATCTTCAGATAAATAATTTTTAAGTAAAATAGTTAAATGTTTAAACATATAATCCATATGATAAAAATTTTTTAATTTGATACTGAAATAAAAAACTATAAATACTAAATGCTAGATATATGACATATTATATGCTTAGATTATTATTCAAAGCTTATATAAACTAGACAATAAATATTCTGAACCTCTGATTATAAAACAATAAATCAACATCTTATATCATTCGGAGCAATAATCACAAGACTTAAAAACCATAAAAGATATAATTAAAACTGATGATAGTGACAATTATTGATATCTGAAATTGATCTAATATTGGCTGATAATATTAAAGACGATAAAGACTATTTAACAGAAGAAAATGAAAAATAAAAAAATTACCATGTTGTGGTTCCGGAGTAGAATTTTCTAAACGTTCTAATGTATTCATTCGATTTAGATGTCCATGTCCAGTACGAAGTTCTTTACGATTTGCACTGGGACTTGATTGTACACTTATTCCAGATCCAGCGCGAGATGAATTTCCACTGTTACTTCTTCTCGAGCCTTTAATAGCAATGAATAATTAATTTTATTTCAAATATAATTTTGATGAGGTTGAAAATATTCTTACTAGTCGTTCCAGGCCGACCAGATCCTAGACGTTCTTTTAGTTCTCTTGCTTTTTCTGCTCTCTTTAACTCCGCTGCATACATTTGAGCCTCTTTAAGTCCTAAATCACTGCAAAGTCGAATTAAAAACTTCAAACATTCAATGTTTTCAGGGAATTTTTCATGAATATCTTGATATTCTTCTAAAGCTTTGTGGAATTGACCGGTTCTTCTTAAACATGCGGCTACCAATAGTCGCCAACGTGGTTGATCAGGAGCAAGTTCAACTGCTCTTTGAAAATATGGCAACGCTTTCTCAGCGACCTTGAATAATATGAAAAAACTTTATATTCCAATACCATTATTTTTTTCACCTTTCAATCAACTAATTAACATACTTGCATGGAAATAAAATACGATCCGAGCCAATCAATAACTTCAAAGTTCCCAGAAAAATACCTGTAAGACTGAAATAGAATTAAATATTAATTTTGAATATTTTATTATGTATAAAAATGATGATTGAAATATATATATATATATACATCATAGTAATACTGATATGCTTGTTGCTTATCTCCAGAATTATCATAGACTTCTCCCAATTTTTGGAGTACACCCGGATCCCATGGTACAATTCCCAATAACTGATTGTACCTAAAAATTATCTGTTAGTTTTGAGAGAATATTTTCTGTTCAATCTGATAAGATAAATGTGATACCATTCTAACGCTTGGTCGGTATCTTTTAGAAGCTGATTTAAATGTCCAAGCTGATATAATGTTTGTAGGTCATGCCTAACAAGACTTTGAATTTTTTCAAAGCATTCTAGTGCATCTTCATATTCACCTAGTTTTTTATATACAAGCCCTGAGAAAAAAAATGATTTGTAAAAAAATCATTACATAAACCAATTTTGGGTGAGCTAAAAAATATACCTAAATTATAGAGGGCTTGAACATGATCTGGTTGATTTATTTCAAGTGTGTATTCTAAGAGTTCTCGTGCTTTTTCCAATTCACCTCTTTTAATTGCACATGCTGAAAGATTGACATAAGCCGCACTGTTATTACTGTTGACGTTACGTGCTGCTTCAGCGCAACGCTCAGCTTGTTCATAATCTCCTTGCTAATAAAATATTTATTGATATGATTAATAATAATCATGAGAAAATTCATCTTAAAAAAAAAATACCACGTACAAGATAATAAATGAATGAAAGCATAGTTGATGCAGCACTGTTAGATTTTGTATCTCGGTTTTCAAACATTTTTAATGTGTCTATGGCTAGTGTAATCTGACGGTTATGGAGTAATACCATGGCTTTGTTTATTTCTAAGTCAGCTGCTAAAGGACCATAAGCGGATGATCTTATAGCATCTACACACCATGCAAATCCAACAGTTAAAGAATCCTCAATTACTGGTGCAATTAGTTTTGCTGCGTTTAAAATTGTTTTTTCCGCTTCTGCTTTCATATCAGATTCTAACACTGACAATTCATCTGTTTTTATAACTTCATTCAGTATATTAATTGCAACATCATCCTGAAAAATAAAAACAAATCACTTAAAAAATAAGGCATTTTATAAAGATATAATCATATTTTCAAAAGAAAAAATTTCAAAACAAACAACATTAAATGTAATGAAAACATGACGGGTGTAAATAAGTTATATAAATACTAGGCAAAAATAAGTGTGCTAACACCAGGTATCGGACTAGAGCTCTCGTGTCCAACTCACTGTACTGATTGAATATTTGTCCTCCTGGTCTATGTTAAGCTGAACTTCAAGCAGTTCTAAAAATCCTCGTTTCATTTTATCACGATGACCTAATGCAAAGTGACATAAAATAGCATGCAAACCAGCTTTGAATTCCGCTCTTTCTCGCATTACCCACTCAAAACTGTTAGCAGCTTCTTCTAAACGGCCCATTTGCACAAATAACATTCCTATGTTGTGCATTATTTTTATTCTGTAATTATAATTATTTTCAAACTAATGTTGATTTTTATTTATCTTTAATCTCATTAATTTTGTCAATTGCAAATTAATCTTACCTCAAGTCTTTTTGTGTACCTGGTGCTTGATCTAGTGCCATTCTATACATTTTAATAGCTTGCGAAAGCTGACCAATTTTTACATAAATATTACCCATATTCACTTTTAATCTTGCACTGTTATTAAACATTCTATTTCTTGTTATATCTTGATAAGTATCTATTGCTTCAGTATACATTTCGTTATTGGTATATTGAATAGCCAAATTAAATGATGTCTAGAAAAAGAAATGACAATTAGAAAAACAAAGATTAAATGATTTTACAAAAAAGAATCACTTACTGCAAATGTTAAATCAACGTTATGACTATCACTTAATCCAGCTTGTTCTTGTAAACGAATTAAAACACGTTCTCGAGAAGCTGCTTCTTTAGCTCGTTCTAATGCAACTTTCATATCATTTTTACTAACTGCTTCAGCAGAGCTTTCAATTAATTCCATTATTTTTCTTTCTGCAATTTTAACTTTTTCTTCTGGATTATCTTCTTTTCCTGGCTCTAACGCTGGAGCGGGTCCACGCGAACTACTTCCCATATTTAAAGGATCAAAAGGCCCTTGTCGACTGCTGGTGTAACCAGCACCACGCACTGCTGTCATCGGTCTAAACCCTGTACCTGGTCGATAGCTAGTACTAGGTCGTAGACCAGTTCCTGGTCGAAATGCAGTTCCTGGTCTAAATCCTGTACCAGGTTTAAATGCTGTTCCTGGTCGACCTGTAGCTGTTCGTTGAAACTATAATTATGATTTATTATCATGTTTACAATAAAAAAAAGTTAGACAATCTTTGTACGAATAAAACGCACCCCTGAAGATGTCCCTAATCGCATTGCCGTACCCGGTGGTCGTCTTGGGGTCATCTGTAATATTTAATAAAATATTAAACAAAAAAATTTATCGATACGATTATAATAATGATAATATAAAATATACTAGTAATTACCATGTTTCGTCTAATATCACTCATTTGTAGAGCATTTTGAAATTCCATATTTTGAACTAATTGATTAGCATCATATGGTATTGGATAATTGCTGTACCCCTGATAGGGATCATCATCCATAGGCGGTTGGGTACTTATCATTGTAAAAATATTTATTATAAAACCCCGTACAAATACTTAGATCGTAAAACTTGACTTCGTGTTTTTTTATTGATTTGTTAGCTCAAAGTTCTTTAGCTAAATTTATCAGCGATAAACAAATAAATATAAAAATTTTTCACAGAGCACATACTTAATTTTAAAAGTTTTATTGCTTTAATATAAAATTATTTAAACATAACTTCAGCATTAATAAATATATACTGATTAGCTTTTTTAGGTTCACAACGTGAGCATAGTAATATTTGATAACCATTTATGTTCGGTAATGCATTGTTTTTGTTTTTCGTTACCTAGAAACCACATAACTCGATTGGATTGATTTAAATATGCGCGTGCATGGCGCCACAATTCAGAGTCATTGCGCAGGGATTTCCCTTAGCAGTTCGGACTTGATAGTTTTTCACTCTTATTTTTCCTACTCGTTTATTCTACACAAAAATACCATAATTTTAATATTCATCTGTTAGTGAAATTGTTTCCATAGTAATCTACGATCAAACGTCAATTTTATAGTTCGTAGAAGTTTAAAACTACAAAAGGATATAATTTGTGCAAATAAGAATGAAAACAAAACGACCGGAGTTGAATAATGAATCACCAGAAGATGTAGAGCTTTTTTCACGACAGAGAAATAAAGAAGACATAAACAAAAGTGAAAGTACATTAAACAAACCTAGTATTAGCATAACTGAATCTCAAGAAAGACAAGGGCAGTTATTATCTCAAGACAATGTAGAGAATGTATTATCAGTTAGTTCGCAAACAGAACTTACGACAGATACCAGCTCTAATATTGCTTCAACTATATCGATGAGTGAAAAAAGTGCTAAATTACTTCCTAAGTGTTTTTGTCAAAGAACATACAATAATAATAAAATGCAAATTCATAGTGCAAATACTTGGCCTACTCAAAAATATTCAATGGATAGGTATGACTTTTTATAGACATCAAAACTTGAAACTACTTGCTATTAAGCATAAAAATGTAATAAAATTTTTTACAGAGATAATCAACATAAAAAACATAAAGATTCATTAAAACTACAAATACATCAACTTACTCAAGAGATAGCAGCTATTCGTAAAGATATAGAAAATAAAAAAAAACAGTACTCTTTAATAAGTCATCGTGTTAAAAATAAACAATCAACTGATGAATCAAGTGAAACTCAAAATCGATTCTCTAGTAATAATATTAGTGGCATTTTAGATGAATCAGATATAAACGTAGATTTTGAAAAAGGACATGATAAAAATATTATTGAATTTACGGATCCAGAAATAAGAAGGGAATATTTGGAATTGATTAAGAAAAAAAAAGAATTGCAGCATAAAATAAAAAAAGAGCAATTGGAAATCGACGTAATATTGGCTGTGAAAATGAGACTAGAAGAACAAATAAAATTATTAAGCACACAAATTGATGAAGTTGAAGAAAGAAAGGATATTGAACAAAACAGAATTAATTGTGAGAGTAAATATGATGAAAAAACACAAGATAATGTGGAAATTACAATTAATGAACTAGAAAAGGAAGATAATGAGAGACAAACAAAAACTCAACATCGATTAGAACAGTTTGGAGTTGATTCAAAAGAAGATCAGTTTAAATTAATAATAACCGATGATGCGTTAATAAAAGACATACATGGAAGAATAGCTGCATTTGAAAAGAAATTAGATGAAATAATGGATGCTCATAATGATTTAGAAAAATTCATTCGAAAAAACCGAGAGCAAATAAATTTGAGTCAATTGGAAGACAAATCAATTAAATCAATAAACCGAACAATGAATTTTCAAGATCGTACAAAGTTAATTGGTTAAAAAATTATTTAAATGAAAAAAATAATTAATTTTTCTCTTATTTATTTTCAGTGGTATGCGATATTATTTTTTGATATGAGTCCAAAATTTTTGAATATTTTGTTTCTATGTTATTTGATATAGTTATGCCTTCATCTTTCATTTTTTGCCATAGTTCCAATGCATCATGAATACTTGTTGTATTACCTCAAAAAAATTTTAACATTTAACGTATTTTCATTTTTAAGAAATCTAACAGAGAAAAAAAATTTACTTACTATAAGAAGCGAACAATAAGTCACAAATTAATGGGCGATTTATTCCATGTATGTCACGAGCAGCGTCAAGAAGTGTTAATAATACTTTTTGTTTTACTTTTTCTTCCATTCCACCTACAATTCTTTTAAAATGGATGTGTTTTCCTTGTAGCTTCTGTAAAAAATAAATTTATGACTGTAGGAAACTAAAGAAATGCTTCATTTTAATAATTATTTTTACCTGTAAAATTAATTTTAATTGATTTAACATATCAAATCGTGCATATGCTATCATCAGATCGTGATCAACTTGCTCTCGACTATGAATCTTTGCAACTATCTCGAGAACGTCATCGAGCATAGCATAAAAATCTTCTGTCGATTCTTGAGCTGGATCATTTTTCATTGTTTTTACAAGTACATTAATCAATTCTTGACGTAAAGGAGTTTTATTAAATCGTTTACTCACAATTTTAAAAGTTTCAACAGCCGATGTTAAATCATTTCTTAACAAATGTACTCGTACAAGAGGTCCTAATACGGTATTGTCAATTGAACAGAATCCTTTCTTGACCAAATTATTTAATAGTAATTCAACTAATTGTGGTTTCTTCAACTGCGTAGCTACATCTAACAATTTCCAACACTGCCGTTGCATTGGAAAAGAAACTACCTCAGTTTCTTTTATTAATTTTAGAGCTTTTTCTACTTCTTTGTGATTAAGTAATGAAGTTGCTGTAATCAAGATCTTAGAAGAATCTAGTGTCCAATCTGGATGATCTTTTTTTAAGTCCAAAATAAGATAGTAGGCTTCAATTGCTTTCTCATTTCGAGCATACAATTCTAACAAACATGATTTCATGCCTGGTGTCAATTGCATTCCATACTTTTCCATTTCCATTTTAATTTCTTCCAGTTTCTTAAGATCACCATTTTTAGCACATGTTAAAAAAAATTTTCTCAGTGCTCCTCGAAAATTGAGACCTTTAGATTTCAATTCTGTTAAATGACAGTCTAGTTGTTCCTGATTCATGTGCTGAGGATGGACCATACCCGATATTCGTTCAGCGTTAGAAACTGGTGATTTGTCTTCATTATTTATTATGTTGGCAGCTTTAAATAATATTTTGATTTTTTCAACATCTGCACTAAATGCATAATTTTCAATTGCATTTGCTGAAAAACTAGATATAGAAATATTGTTTGCCTTATAAATGTTTAACAACTTTTCAAACTCTTCAATATTTTTATGAAACAGTCTTTGACTTACTGCTTGGAAGAGAAATTTTCCAGGATAATCTTTAGTTTTATCAGGTAATAATAAAATTTGTACAATCACATCAATAGCTTTCTTGTTGATTCTATATGCTTGAACAAGTGAGGGCAATATTTCATTGAAATCAGTCATTCTATACATTTTTTGACATAATATCGAAGCATTAGGTATTTGCTCATGCTCTAAATAATATTTAATTAACGGAGTAACTACAATATATTCATGTACTCCGTGGTTTGTCAATTTTCTCAATGTTTCCATTGGATCCCAAATACTTATATAAGGGATTATATAATCAGATAATGTAGTCCAATCTAATTTGACCTCCATTTGTACTGAATGATCAATAACTTCATAAATACCTGGTTCACCCTTTTGTTTAAAAATTTGTATTAGCAATGGCCAGTAATAATGTGGTCTGATTTCTACATTATTTTTTGCCATTTTTTCTAATAGTATAAATGATAGATCTGTTTTATTTGAAATCAGAGCTCCTTGTAATAATGATAGAGCCACCGTAGTGAATCCAAAGTTCTCAGAAAACTTGTTGCTAATACTTAAAATTGTGGGTACATAAGTTTCACTACTTGCCAAAGTTTTTAAAAAATATTTTGATGCATGAAGAATATCATGAGTAAAACCTTTCGTAGAAAAAAAGTTCAGTATTAAAAGACAATCATCGATTTTATGAAGATAAGTGAGTTCGATTATAAAATTTATAAGCAATGGATCTGTAAGCATTTCTTTCACTGGAATATATTTAAAAATATTTTCAATAGTTTCACCTTTATTAGCCAAACTTAAGTTCTTCATAATTTGTAATAATTGTTTTGTGGATATTGAATGTTGCTCTAATAATTCAATTACATGATCAACATCACCTTGTTGTGCATAACCGCATGCTAAACTTCCAAAAAGTTCATTTGGTACTTCAGTGTGTGAATCAATAACACTGTTTAAAGCAAATCTTGCAGAGGCCATGTCATTGATTTTTGAATAAAATTTTATCAATAGATTTATTACATCTAAATTTAATGAATACTCAAGTTCTTTTAACTTCTTTAGGATAAAAACAGTACTATTTAAATTACCACTACTAGCAGATACATTTAATAACTGAATATAAGTATCTTTATTGGGTTGTAGAGTCATGTTCTCAATAAATTCTTGAGGTTTTATATCTTCACAATTTTGAGCACAAACATTCAAAAATGTGTGATAATAATCAAAAGAAAAGGTGTAATGTTTTTCTTTTAATGAATTCCACACGTCATAGAGAAGTTTCTGTCTTACTTCTGGTTTAACATTGGGCAAAATTTCTCCACAACAACTGAGTAAAAAAATATTGATTGAATCATCAACTTTTACATTTAATGCAGCAAAAATTTTTAATGCTTCAAGCAAAATTGCATGATCAACTATAGAATTTTTTAAATTAATTTTCAAAAACTCTATGTAAGATAACAATTCATTTACTCGGCGGATATTTTGACGTCTATTATAATAATAATTATTGTTTGAATTAAATGTATTATTGTTATTTACATCATTTTTATAATGAATTTGTTGTCTTTGTATATGAACAATAAATCTTGGATAACCTCTTCTTTTCACGTTATGTACAAATCTTTGTATAAATTGAGCTTGACATGTTACAGATCGCGTTGGAAAAGCTTTAGCAAGCCGAGTACATAACCGCACAGATAACATTTGATATTTCTTATTTAATTTTTATTGATTATTAAACATTTATTAATATTTATATAATACAAGTAATTATTAACCTCTCACGTTATTTTTATGAAGAAAACCGGCATGCGTGTATTTTGAATGTTTTCGTTTTTATCAACATACGATTATGTAGTAAATTATAAGATGTCACTAAATGTTTGTTCTATATTTTTTTCAAATATTAATATTATCGTTAGTTTCTAATTTCTCTGCGACTTAATATTTTTTTTTACAAATTTTAGTTCCGAATTAAAGATTATTTCATGATATAGTGCGCTAGATAGAAATTTTAATTATCCAATTGATTTTTTCAAATTATTGAATTGATTTGCTGCGCTTCAAGATGGCCGCTACAGGGTTATAAAAAGAAATCATCGAAAATGACTTTAAATACACATATCCATCCATTATTATCATTTCTATCAAGTATAAATGTCAATAAACGAGCTCAATTTCAAGTCTGCATATCCAAGTATGTAGTTTGAAATTAAAATTTAGGAAAATCATCCTAAACCGTAGGTTCTAATTTCTTCGTAATTATTCAATTTTCTTTTTAATTTTTTTATCAAAAACATCAATTGAATAATTGAAATTTGATTTAGGAAACTGCATCATAAAATAATCTTTAATTTGAGACTGAAATTTTCAAGGAAAAATATTAATTCGCGGAGAAACTAGAAATCTACGATCCAATGTATTTAGATAGGAAGAATCAGTCAGCTCTGTGACTTCAGCCCAGCCTTAAAATTCTTCTCAAATAATATACATCTTCATTTTTATTATTTTATTACAAATAATTATGCTTCAATCTGTTTAGAACTCTTTGAAGGCAGAATATCTTCTTTAATCACATTAATTTCTTTAAGTAATTCTTGTCTTTCACCAAAGAAATTTTTATACCACATTAGGTGATCTATTTTTTCTTGAACTTTCATGTACGGATTTTTAGAAAGACCAATACAGACTAACTCCATAAAGTGACGAATAGGTCCTACTTTTGGACACCAATCTTCAATGTGTCGTTCCATAAATACGTGTTCGGAAAACGGAACACTTTCTTCTTCTTCATAGCCTAGATAAATAAAAAATTCTTTTATTAGTTTATGCCCTTAGCTAACTATCAATTAAAAAATACAAGTGATTACCGTATTCATTATTAATTGGAAACTTCCATAGCAATCCTGTCTCAGTCCACTGAATCATTTCTTGGAATATATTTTCTGGAGGATGTTCGAGTAATAATTTGAGCTCTTTCTGTTCAAGAGCACGCCAAATTGGTATTTCTTGATTTTGAGTAGCTATTATATCTTCTTGTATTTCATCAAAAATTCCTAGCCGTTTACCGCCAAATAAATTTACAGATACTTCTTTAACTCTGAATTCAAAAATTGACAAACATTAGAACTAGAAAATTTTATAAATGTATCAAATTTTTTAAAAATATATAATACCTTAATGATATCATACCAGATCCATGTTGCTGAAATCGTTTGGATAACTCTTCAATTTTCGATGATCTTGAATATTTACTCTGAGGTAAAGGTTTATCTTGAGTTCGCTCTATTTTCATACCTGATAATAACTCACTACAAATAATAATAATTAAAATTAAATGTTTTTTTTTCACTATTGATGCACGAATTTAAAAAAAAAAATATAAACTACCTCAAGGATATTTCTGAACCAGCTTTAGTATCTTTACTTTCCTTTGGTATCTTTTTTTTAGTATCTTCAGTTCCTGGAGCTTGAGGTGGTATTCTTGTTGAAAAAACTTTATCAACTAATTCTTGACGAGTTTTTTCAGTATCTCCGCCCAAATAATCAGCTGTTTCTTTAGCTGCAGTTATAATTGACTGTTCTGTAAATAATATTGCATCAGTGTTAATTTGAGTATGGAATCCTACTTCATTTTACAGACACTTGAATAAATTTTTCATAGACAAACCTAGAGTTGGTTTCTCTAATGGTTTAGGCTCTTTAATTCGCTTTGGAGCTGATCGAAAAGTCCTCGATGCAGATGTTTCCTTTAATTAAAATGTAATTAATTACTCATTATTTATCCTTAATAAATGTTTTAATCAAGTAGTAAATAACATACTGTTATCATTTTTGTTAATAGATTATTTAATGAATCAATGGATTCTTTATTTGTTTTTGAAGGAATATTTTCAGGCTGTTTTTTTATTTCTTTTTTGCTTTTATCATCATCTGAATCAGAATCCGATGAAGAAGAATCTGAAGAAGAGTCTTTTGCACTCATTACATTCACAGATGAATGTAGATATTGTTTATTGACTGTTCGTAGAGTAAGAATACGTCTGAAAAAAATGAATCAATGATAAATATTTTTCACACCCATTCTGAAGCAGCAGAGCATAATAAAAGAGGTTATGTTGATTGCTACGTATAAATACACATTAATAATCATTCAACTATTTACCTATAAATTAAATGCATTGTTAGAATAGTATTCATAATGATAGTTCTTTGTAGAAAATATTTAATTTATGACACTATATAATGAACTCATTAATTGTTTTAATGAAACCGGTGTATTTATATCAACACAGTAAACTAATACAGACTACATTTATCTTTGCTCATTTGATAAATTTCACTTAAACATTATTATGATGCATTTAACGATTTATAACAAAAACTATAATTAGTTATTATAAACACGTGATGTGATCATCAAAATTTTATTTAAAACCTCCAAAAACTAAAATCAGTTCAGTAGTGATCATTACAGAAGACATTCAGGAGCGGCTACAATAAGTTGTAAAAAAAGAACTTTTTTTCTGTAATATTTTTTCGCTACATTATTGGAATTTCTTTCAACTAAAATTTAACATATAATTACTCAATGAAAATATTAGTTAATTATATTATATTTAATGTAAATTATTCAATAATTTTTTAAAGCAATATCTACGTTACTGAGAAAGTCGGTGAGAGTCGGCTAATTTCGTGAAGATGTATCTCTAAAGGATGCAGAAAGCATATTTCCTCATTCGCTATTAACATTCTCATTGTAGAATTACTATGAACTATCCAATTTATAAAAATAGAAGTAATTAGAAGTTTGTTGATTTGTCACGAAATTTGATTATTTATTTATAGTGTCATGATGGCGCGAGTGCTTCTGACAAACGTCATTACTATAGAAAATTTTGGCTAAGTGTTTATTCATTTTAGTGTAACGACCTGAGTGAGGTCTTTCGCCAACATTTGCTCTGTGCTTTTGTTCGTGGACCAAATTAGTGATCACCAGTGATTCATATTCAAGTTTTTGTTTTGTAAAAAAAGCTTTTTTATTTAAGTCGATCCATTACATTTCACCAGTTAGTTTTCTTATAAATTTGGAGCAACATGAAGAGATCTAAACCAAGTTTTTTTACTGATATTTACAATCAACCGTATGATTATAATACTAGGGTTAAGCTTTACAGCAGCAGTAAAGGTAATTATAATTATTTCATATTATTTATATGTCAGTTAAATATATTTCAAGTAAAATTCAATTGAAGTATTTTGTTCTTTTATCATGAGATATAAAAACATTCTAGATACTTCTAATTACAAATTCATTAATAATAATTATTGTTTTCTTTCAATTATTTCAGCAAGTTTACAATTGATTCAACGAATGTCACTGGTGAAACGTCTTAAATTACATAGAGGCTGTGTCAATTCAATATGTTGGAATAGTACTGGAAGATTAATTCTCTCAGGAAGTGATGATCAACATCTAGTCCTTACCGATATCTATAATCATAAAGTAAAATAAACTAATATTTTGGCATAACAAAAAAATATATATATATATCATAATTGATTAAATTTTGACATTAAATCTGATAAGTCTAATCTTGTCACTTGATCTCGAAATTTATCTATGATAAAGATCCAAGATTATTTTTAGACGTGTAAATTTTTTTTTCAAATCTAATTATCATCGTAAGATATAATTTTATTTATTAATGTTGAATATATATACTTTTGATAAGATTTACACCAAAAAATTTTGTCAAATGTCTTCGAAAAGAGGAAGTTACTGTAATAAATGTAGTCAAGGTTTAACATTGGCCTACATAGTAAATTGGCAACTATGCCAAATGGGATAATGAAATTTAACTCATGTACTCCCTGATACTAATTATACCCTTTGATTTACAATTATTTTTTTTAAGACGACATAAATTCTGTTGTTACTACCTCAATAATCGATTGCAACCATCAGTCAAGAAATACATATTTTATTTTTGATACAGGTATTAAACCATTATAAAACTAGCCATAGAGCAAATATATTTAGTGCCAAATTTTTACCCTGTAATGGTGACCATCGTATTGTGTCTTGCAGTGGTGATGGAATGATTCTTTATACAGGTAACAATTTTACTGTTTTAGTTGTTTTCAAGTCTTGAAATATGAAGAAGACTTACTGATTTTGTAATTTTTAATTTTAGACTTTATGCGAGCATCAGAAACCTTTCATAATCATTTTACATGTCATAATGGTACTACTTATGAAATAGCTACTGTTCCTGGAGAACCGCATACTTTTCTCAGTTGTGGAGAAGATTGTACAGTTCGATATTTTGATCTTCGTGTTAAATCTTCATGTAACGTATCAAGATGTAAAGAGGTAGGTATTCATCATTATTATCTGAAAAGAATCATAAATGGAGCTCAGCTAATTCATAAAAAATTCAACATTTTTTTAGGATATATTGATTTTACGTCAACGGCCAGTTACAGCAATGTCGATCAATCCTTCTATGCCTCATTATTTAGCCATAGGCTGTTCTGATAGTTCTGTAGGAATTTACGATCGGCGGATGTTGAGTATTGGAGCAAAAAGTATTTATTTAAAATCAAATAAATAAATTTAGTTAATTCGTTAGAAATTTATAAATAATTTGTTTTCCAGATTGGTCAGATGAAAATAGTATTCCTCCAGTGTCCATGTTTACAGTGCCAGAGTTTGAAGGACATCCTTATCGAATAACATCTCTTTGTTATAGTCCAGATGGGAATGATGTTCTTGTCAGCTATAGTAGTGATCATATTTATTTATTTAGTGCCAAGGTATAGTAACAAAATTTTTTGTACAACCAAACTATGTTTTCAACGTCTTTCTGTTTTTCATAAATAATTTATTTTTAGAATCAAGGTAGTGTATGTTTAAAAAAAAATTCGCCTCTGGAAAAAAATAAAAATAAAAGACAGCCAGCAAGATCTTTACAACCAGTCCGTAGATTAAGATTACGTGGAGATTGGTCAGACACTGGTCCAGATGCACGACCAGAGCGAGAAGGTGGTCGTCGTAATGGTGCAGGTAAATCACTCAAGTCATACTCTAGTCAGGTTTATTCTATTATCGAGAATAATCGAAGATTACATAATTCCATAATAATCTTGTGTAGAAATAGCTCAAGCTCGGCCTATGTTACATACATCATTAATGCAAAGAATGACTGACGTATTAAGCAGAATGTTAAACGATCCTGCTACAAGGGCAGCTCTAAGTGGTGGTGGAGAAGACAGCTTTCAAGGAGTTATCGATCGACATACAAGCGGTCAACACGGAGAAGGTACTAGTGAAAATTCTGGGGAAGAAAATAATGACCTACAAACTATGGACACGGAAGCAAATTTTCGAGGAGCAGGTAAATAAAAATTTAGAAAATTAAAGTCAAGTTAAAGTAGAATCAAAATTACAAATTTATTTTTTGATATTAATTTCATAAAAGATGGTCAAGAAAATGAGAGTCTAGAAGCTTCTAGGGATAATAATTTAACAGAAAATCCAGAATCTTCTGGTGAACAAGAAGATGTACCAAATTCTGTTACAAATAATTCATTATCAGAATTGGTCGATGAAGAAATTGAAGATAATTCTGATAGAAATAATGAATCAAATCAATCTGAAAGATTAGTTCAGTCGAGTCAATCAAATTTATCATCGAATAACAAAGAAAATAGGAATGAAGTAACAGATGATATTGACAATCATGATAATCTTCAAGGTAATAGCTCTGATAATGTTGAAGGCACAAGGGATGAAACCATGATGGAAAATCTTCAAGACAGATTGACATCGATGAGAGATGGTTTTCTTGAAAAGTATTTATATATATTTATTCTCATAAATGTCGTGGGCTTGTAAATGTAAATAACTAATGATTTTCATAGTGACGAATGTAATTTTAGACATGGGCGCGAACCTGCAGTGAATCTAACATATTCTGACAAAAGTTCTACCGGAGCAACCATTTCCATGGGCGTAGCAAATGAAGTCATAAGAAATAGTTATCATCCTGGTAATTATTTAATTAATTTACTTTTTTAAAACAGCATTTAAGTTATATTCATAATGTTTCTCTTTTTTATTTTTTAAGGACCATCAAGTAGTCGAAATATTGATTCTAAAACAGTTACCAAATCATCGAATCCACCTGATAGTGAAAATAGTAAATCATATAAGGAACTCTTTGACCGTGAGTAATTTCGATATTATTCTCACAAAATGAACTCGAAAAGAAGTAATAATAAAAATAATTTTAGAAATAAATGACGATGTTTATACTGACAGTGAAGATGAAGCGGAAGAACCCAGCAATCGGTAAATAAACATAATTAAATGAAAAGAATAATATAAATTACAATTGAATAAAATGTTTATATTCAACAGTGTAGTAAATCCAATAGAAACAGAAATGGATGAAGCAGTAGCAAATATACGGGCTGCCTTTGGTTGCAATGAATCTATCAATGTCAATACCTCAACAGAATTTCATGTAAGACAAAAATATATGGGCCATCGCAATGCTAGGTATGATAAATTACTTCATTTAAAAAATAATCCCTGTTGCACTTATTTCTAAGTTCTAATAATGTATTGACGTACCAAACAAACTATTGTGTGACTTATTTTGGTATACTGACGTTTGTAGTAGTACCCCAATAGTAAGTAGAATTCCGTAGTAATGAAACTTTTGATAAAGATTCCAAGTGGATTGGGCCAATTAGAATCAGCCCATCCAAAATTCTCATCGCTTGTCCTTCCCTCGTTTGACTCTAGTTTCTTTAGGACTATGATCAAAGAAGCAAATTTTTGGGGCAACGATTTCGTCATGTCAGGCAGCGACTGCGGTCACGTTTTTATATGGGAACGAGAAACTGCGAAACTCTGTATGTTACTTGAGGCTGATCAACATGTAGTCAATTGTCTACAACCTCATCCTTATTTACCTATGCTGGCAACATCTGGTATTGATTATGATGTAAAGCTATGGGCACCAATAAATGCAGAAGCCAATTTTAACGTTAATTTCGCGGAAGATGTGAGTTATTTTATTCTATTAATATGCTAAATGATGATTAAATTAATATATACTAATATAAATTTTCATATAGCTCCAAAAACGTAATGCAGTCATGCTTGAAGAGACCAAAGACACAATCACGGTTCCAGCAGTATTTATGATCCGGATGCTTGCTTGTCTCAATCAAATACGCAGAGGTAGTGATTTTTAACGATAAATTCATCAGATCACAAATAGATAATTAACGAATTTGTCTAATCATATGGGACCTGTATTCATTATCATCATACTGCTAGGACAAATTAAATTCTTTATTGTATAACACAAATATTTAATGTCAATTGATAGTTATAGTTGCTTATATTATATTATACTAACAGCTTTTTTTTGCTTGACCTACCAATTATATGTTATTAAACTGAGCTTTCAATTTTTTATCACGAATTTGTATGCTTTTTTCACTCTGTCAACGACATCCTCAAACGACATCCATTAATCAATAAACTTAATAGTTAATGACCATTTATCAATCTATGGAAATGATATTATTTACTTCAAATGATTAGACGCCAAGGTATTAGTATCAAAAGATTGAATGGAATACGTATAACTTTACTTCCCTATTCCCCGAATATTTATCAAATGTTTTTTTTATGGCAGATTTAAACTGTTTGTAGGACGTGGACGTAATCGACGCAGAAGTAGCGATGAAGCTGATGAATTACGAGGAAGCTAAAATATTTTCATCTTACATTCATCAAGGTACAATCGTAAATATATCGTAATGCTATTTCGCAGGTAGATATGGCAATAGTGATACAACTTTTAAAAAAGGCGAACCATAAGTTAATTTCATATAGTCAAATAATTGAATTAGACCAAATATTCTTGCATTTTTACAGTTTGGAATTGGAGTGTTATTCGTTATTTCTATAATATATTAAATATCAATTTAAATACTTACATATTATTATGAATGATAATGATTATAATTCCCTTCTTTGCTTTGTATTTAGTTAAAGACATGGATGTGCCTTAAATGATGAAGAATCTCAAATATTTTGCCGACAATAAAAAAGAATTTAATTTTACAATTATTTAGATACTTAAATGTTGGATATTCAATTATTATCCATATAAATTACATTAATTACAACTGATGAAATAATTTTTGTATTACATCACAGTTGCTTTTGTGTGCAATATATCAAATAATGTAGAAATAATTATAAAATTATGGAATATTGAGAAGTTGCCGTTTTCAAATGTAAAAAAGATGTGCAATATTTTCATTTAACTATATTGGTCGTAAATTTATTATAATGTATGACGGTAAATGTATGAAATTCTAATGTGAACATTACAGTTTTATAATAAAATACAATAATTAGATTTGCAATATTTCATTATCAATCCACTATCATATAATTTACCATACTTATTTATTTTGTTCCATTTTTTTCTGAAAAGAAAACATATATCTCGTAAAAGTGTTTTGATCTTTTCATCTTCCAAATAAAGGATGTCTTTATAAATATAAAACATGTAATTAATATTTTAAATCTTCTTTGATGTCAAACAAAAAGGAATAGTAAATGAGTAGAATTGTAAAAACGATTTCATTCTAAAGTATTGTTAATTCTGTCTCCGTCACGATTAAACGACTTATTCTTTCTCTTTCGTTGAATAAAAAAGTTTTATATTATTATTATTATTATTCATTCTATAAATGGTAAGTATAATTATACATTAATAATAAGTAGGATAATTTTACGATTGAAAAGGCATCAAAGATTGGGATAAAAATTTACTGTTTATTTACTGTATCTTTTGTTACCCCAATAATTTTACAAAGAATGAATAAAATGTAAATATATTATTAAGAATGACAAGCCGTCTTTCGCGAGGGAGTTGTAAACAAAAGAATTCTCTTTCAAAGATGTACTCATTATAAGTAACTACTATACATCAACAAGACTTAGATAATAATGGTTTTTATACCACCATCTCTTCCTAATTGTACAAGATCGAGATCAATAGTTTACGAGCTCTATCCCGTCTTTGAGAAATATTTTATGAGCAACTTATTTTAACAAATATTTCCACATCTTCAAGGTTTACTTTTAGATGCAAGAATATTCGAAAAATGTGTTTCTTAATTATTTTTTTTTCAATTTTTTTCTTTTTATAAATAGCAAGGAAATAGTTTTAAACAACCATCGTAAAATTACTCGAAACGTTTTTTTTTTGTTTTTTTTGTAAAATAATAAATGAATAAATTCGATATATAAATTTCAAACTAAACTTTCGTAGATCTACCCTTTATTTCCGTATAGAGCGTATAAATTTACCGACGATAATAAATTTTTTTCTACATCATCATTGTTTTAATGATGATTATTCGCATCAGTAATGAAACATTGCGCCTGCACAAATATTTTTAGTAGCGCAAATTCATATACTCTCACACCAACCAGATTGTATTTTACGTATTTGTATTTTATGTCTTATACGCTATAACGTGACATATAACACATTAATAACATTAGGCCAGACGTCAGAGGGATGAACATTGTTATTACAGAAATTTACCTCTGTTTAATTTTTGTCAGTCATTCAACAAATACTACAACAAACATAGAATGATCCAGACATAAATATCTTTAATAAAATTATTCGTAATTTATAAAAGTCGTGTGATTCATTGTATTGCGAATAGAACTAAAAATTAAACATGACGTTCAATTAAATTTAGATATGACTTCGAGTTTTAGTTGTAACATAAATAAATAAATAACAAAATTTGATAAACATCAAGTTAATAAATTGGAAAGATAGGAATAAAAATTTTCAATTAACTTCGATCATTTTTTTTTCTCCATCTCATTTTAATTGGCTGATTTATCGAGTACATTTTTTTAATGAGCACTGTAATGAACTATAATCATCCCTCGATTTAGTGATGAGAATGATTTTAAAATAAAAATTTGATGAAATATAATTGGAAGTAACAATTAAAATCATCAATGAACTATAAGTAAAGTAGAAATAACAAGTGCATATATAAATGGATTTATAAATATTAGCATGATACTTGCAAATGCGACATAGTTTTGATAATATTTTTAACGAGATCTGATTTTTAAAGATATAGCTTCAGTATTTAAAAGTTATACAGTAAGAAACAACTACAAGTGTAATAAGACAATATAATTAGCTAAGGCAAAAAAATTAAGCTATTCTGCCTTGAATCGCTTTTTGTATTTATTAAAATTTTATTAATAATAATAATAGTATGATTGGTATTAAATTATTTTTATTATGCCTAAACAATGTAATTCGTGCGGTAATTTTATATTTGTAATAGGAATAAAAAATAATACAATGAATTATTATTTTTATAGTTCCTATTAACTTTTCAATAAGTGATAGTAATAGTTAACATGTACTTGTATTGTTATATTTAATATTAATCATTATTATTATTAATTTATTAATGATAGTAAGAAATAAATAATTAATTTTATACAACAATCACACGTAGAGAAGCGATATAATAGAATAGTAGAAATAACTATATTTTAATTTAGCTAAATTTATATTTATATTATAGTATAATCTGCAAGTTGATAAACCATATTTATTCTTCATAACTTTTATATATATAAATAATATTTTTATGTATATATATACTCATCGTAAAAGTAATTAACTTCTGATAGTTTGAGACTCGACTCCTGACAACTATGAAGAATGTACGAACGTGTAGAAATATTTATCGTATTAACGAAGTAAATTCGATAAAAATTGTTCTTTTTTTTTTTTAGTAATGGTTGTTAATTTATTTTATTGATTTACGTGAGACATTTTTTTTGAAATAATACTTATATTACTTTTTAACGCATGTTATTTAAAATCATGCGAAAAAAATTCGAACGGAGAGCATAAATTAACCCTCATTTGCATTTTTCCATTATTCGTATCATTATTTTTTGTACGCCCAGACTCGAGCTATTCTAAAATTTTTCATCATTCTTTGTATTCATCCATTTAAGACAATTGATTTCATTCATAGTTTGACTATTGAATATGTATATATTTATATGATATTCACCACAATTAATACTTATTTAGTAAAACAATTATTACTTATTTGATAATGAAAAATCACCCAAACTAATTAAATCTTTTTAAAGACTCACTTACAACATTTCAAAGATATTTAGATACTATTATAACAAACAGCAATAATTTTTTGCAACCAAACATCAATTGAAAGCATCAATAAAGAGCAATCGTATTACATAAATTTGTCACACTGTCACAAAAACTTAACAAATGATCTAAAACGATAATAAATATGGAAGAATACTCTGTACAATTTTTATTATTAATATATTATATTATTATTATTATTATTAATCAATTAATATTATCATAATAATAATAATAATAATAATAATAATAATTAGTAATCATTATTATTTAAATGATGTCTCACCTTGCCTCGCTTAACAATACTTTAACTAGCGAAATATTATTTTAAACTCATTTGTTTCTTCAATAATGAATTAATATTTTTATTCTCATGTAATTTATTTAAAATTTGTTATAATTAATTGAATAAGAAGTTATATTGCAAGTCAGTGCACTATCAGTTTAGACGGGCACAGGTAGACAATCTAATAAGCCTGAACCTCTCTGGAAGGAGCAGTGATGTGAGAAAAAGGGACGATATAATGGGCCGACCCAACGGACGATGAACGCTTATCGAGGTGGGATAAGACGTATCAATAACGATCAATTGTGTAATATTATACTCATCTCTCCATCTTTCATTACAATGGATTTACTTTTCATACTCAATTATTGTAAATGTACCAAATAAATTTTTTGACTATCTTTTTTTTCCAGTTAAAATATTCTGGCATTGATGAATAAAAAAGTAACTATTGTTTGTTATATAGACTATTCGAATAAATATATATTTATATATGTATATATAGATTTGATCTGAAAAATGTACACATACTAGTGGGAATATATTTTACGAGTCTCAAACAATTTACGTGAAGCATAAAAGTACATCAATCATTCTTTTTGTGTTTTTGTATTTGAAATTTAAAATTGATACGTCTGAATGATTCAATGGTAATGTATTGATAATAAATAAGGTATCATTTACCGCACATCTGATTTAGGTCTTGGCCCAACTGATTGTTTTTATTCTGAGTTTGAATTTAGTCCATGTGCTCTATAGTTTAATTGAGAGCTATAAGTTATCTCGATAATGCATCGTAATTCCTTTTTCTCTTTCCTCACTTATTGTATCGATTGCAGTCTTGGCGAGAGAGTCACTCATTGTATAAGACTTCGGGCAAAGTTTTAATATCTCATTTTGTTCCTCTTTTAAGAGTCATAGCTACATGGCACGTTGGTCGATATTAAGGCTCGATCGGGCCAAAATTTATATTGAGACTCCCTAATTAAATTTGTTACTCTAACTAATAATAAATCGTAAGCAGACTTCGTTTATCATCAGGTATCGTTGACGATAATGCATATTGTCTAATATGCGTAGTGTTCCCCATCTTCCTTATTTAACTTCCGTTTCTTCATTTCGCTGTGTTCATTATCCAAAGATAGCTGTAAGTACAGAGACGTGTTGGGGGATACATCGTCACATAGGAGACATTCTAAGTGTTGGGGCTCAGATGTGCCCACGGTTAAAAATTATATAGAAGAAATATCGTTATACGCTGCAGATTTTTCTTAAACTTTTTTTTTTTTTTGAACTATTTACTTTTTTTGTCTTTCAACCCTTTTTTCGATTTAGCAATGTTATCAGTGTTTAATGCAGCGTCTTTACTGGTATTAAGTACGCACCGAGATCTGAAATATGAGTAAATAACATTATCTGTTCATGTAATATTTTTTTTAATGATATAAAACTTTATTTTTTTTTTTTTAATTTAATTAGAATGAACATTTGAATTAATTAAAATCATCAAACCATTGAAATAATTTTTAGAAGTAAAGGAAAAATTTTTTAAATCTTTGACTGTTATTAGAAACTAGAATCCTTTATGAATTTTTTTCTCTTTGTAACTGGAATACTAGCCAATTCAATAGCATACCAGATTCTCAAAGAATAATCGGAGCGTTTGAACTTTGTCCATGACTTATTTATGATTGCATGAAAATGGAGATGGTCCTGTTACTGCACTTCGGTGGAAATGCACATTTTGCCATTTATTATCTTTTTTATGCCAGACTCGACTTTCTTCACTTTGCTGAGTATGTGCGACACCTTGCCTAAAAGGAATTTTTAAAGACTGTTGAAAACTCTTTTCAGAAGTAAGGTTTATTTTAAAAATTAACTTGAAACATCCACTTACTTGTCAACATACTGAGTGAGTCTCACATATGCAATGCAGGCAGCATCCTCACCTAACAAATGCACATGAGGATTGAGGATTGTCGTGTTGACAGCTTTACAGCTTGAATTCTTCCCCAGGACTGCTTAAGTAGAAAATATAATGTTATAATAGATTACAATAAACACAGTAATAACAGTAGTAATACTACTGCTAATAATTACTCATTCACAGCAAAAAAATTCATTTACTAATAAGATAGTTAAAAAACTCAAATAATAATGTTTAATAAATAAATTACTGTAATTTGATAGATGATTTGTAATTCATGAGAGTAAAAGTTGGGTGAAGTACAATAGAAGCTCAGAAATGAATTCATCTACTGTACATGGAAGTTGCAAATTAGAAATAATTACCATTATCAAAATAAAATTTGTGAAAGTCCATTCCTTCGACTAAATTACCTAAAGCTTCTGGCTCGAATGCAGTCAGATGAGGATCGCAGATTTTCCTGTAAATTACCAACATACAAACGTCAAATATCATTTAATCAGATAATTACTCTTTAAAAGCTGTCATTATCAAAGTAATCAACTTTTTTGAACAAGTGATAATTTAAGTATAGACTCAATGAGATAATTAATAATACAGTCTAATCTTGCATTTAATAGACTTACGTGTAACCCTCGAAGTCACCAGTATTGATATTTTCAATGAGTTGTTCCGTCATTTTGATGATCTCCTGACGGCGAGCTGTAATCGTTAATATTTTATGATCAGTAATAAACATACAAATGGAAAAAATTCTATCTCTTTCCGGTACATTGCACAGCACAACAGCCACATGCACGAATCATTAACATCCTATCCACGCCAATACGAGTTTTCGTCAGAATTATATATTATATATTTTTTTGTAATTTACGATTCATTAATTGACATATATTTCATTATTTTTTTCCTTTTTTTTTGTTTTAAGAGAATCTAATAAATTTGTATGCAGTTATGTCTTTATTATCCCTATTATTCCTGCTGAATAATTTTTTTTTTTCAATTAATTTTTTATTTTTCAAGAGTGATATATTTATTTTTAATTTAAAATATTTTTTGTGCCAGATATTAGATCAACACGTGTGCGTTTAGACCTAGAGGGGCGTATGAGAATGAAGTGACGATATGAAACGATATTTGTTATCGAGTATTGCTATCAATTATTTTAACATCAATGTTACTATTGTATAATACCAATCAGCTAAATTAAACGCGAAACATCGATGCGAATGAAGTGATTTTATCACTCGTAGGGTGCGAATCAAAATGATTCGCTTATCGTTTCGTTGACGTAGCTTAGAATGCTATAAGGGACCAGAGAATAATATTTCATTATTTTCATATCATAGCCAATTAAATACACATCCAAATACCAATTGTGATTAAATGTTTCATACATGTTGCATTGTTTTCCTATTCTTCTAGAATCAGATCCAATTAAAAAATTTTGTAATTAAAAAAGTACAAACATAGAATAATATTTCATTCATATTCTGAAAAATTTATAGTCGAATAGTTTTTCAACTACAACTTTGAAAATAATTTTTTTGATGTCCTGAAGTTTTATGAATGTAAATACGTTCAGCAAGGGATAAAGTGTAAATAAAAGTTTAATTTATAATCCTTGAAGCCTTGAACTACGTCAACGATCGACGAGTGGCTCTAATTAAAATGTCTCATCTACGTTTGTGCGCGTTACCTGAGCACTGCGAGTTCGTTGAGAGCTGGCTGCAGGTCTTGACGGGACACATGATTCTTATTTCTACAAGCATATACCTTCCTCATTAAAACACACATTCTTAAGTTTCATTTCGTTTTTTTTTTATTGCTTTGATTTGTATTTTCTGATTGCGCAGAAGCTGTTTCATATATTGAAAGGAAACGTGATGTTAATTTGTTAATTCTACTGATTTATTTCAAGTAAGTAATATTTAATTACTAATAATTACCATGATTATCTATTTATTATCTACTTGATACAAATATTCATCACGTTACCTAATTTTGCAAACAAGCAGGAGTTTGTTATTGTTGTCTCTACCTCCTTTGACATAATAATTATGGACTTTAGATTGGTTCACATTCTTTAATGTTTCTTTTTTTTCAAGACTAAATAAATAGTCGTAATATATTTTTCTGCGTCATTACTTCTTTGTGGTAACCATGCGAAGTTTTTCATTCTATACTATTTTTCAATTTAACAAACCGTTAAGTTTCAGTGCACTAATTAAAACCTATAATGTAATATTGAATCAAAATGATTTTTAAATACATCAGTTTTATTCGTTATTAATTATTGGCACATTTATTTCATTCACTTTTTCAAACTTAACTCAACTATTGTACAATAATACTATTGTGTCTTAACATATATTACACTATGCAACATTGAAAATATCACTGGCATTCGTAAGTTTGATGCAAAACAATAATTGATATTTTAAAGATAGTTTTTTTTAAATAAATTACACTTAAATAAAATTTAAAGTAATATAATTAACAATTTTGTAAGAATATAATTATTATAAATTAATTTTAACACATAAAATAAAATAAAATAAATAAAAAGTAATTATTTATTTTCTTAAATATTTATGAAAAATAAAAGAAAGAAATCTTTATGTAATTTATAATGATTAACTAATAATTGTGACTGCATTCATGATGGAAAAAACATTTCTATCAGGTTTTCCAGTGAGAACTAAATATTTCATAAATTGCACAGTGTGATAATTAACATGTTACATATGATAACTATACGAAATGATTTTTGTACTATAATAAATATTCTAAACAATGCTCACATGTTGATTGGTTTCTAAATATAAACATAAATCGTATATATTGATCATTATTGTATATTCTCATAATATTAATTCTATTGGAGGTGTGATAACTAATAAAAGTGTGACGCATTGGTCATCGATAGGAGTTCAGGCGATGCTTCGAGCAAGTTAATTTAAATTAAACTACATCGTTTTCGGGACACACTATCATTATCCTGTTGAACTGTCAATTTGGTATTTGGTGAGGAACCTTTGGCGCAACCGACATCCTCCTTACCGTCTTCCACCTCGCTAGAGAGGTTGCTTGCACGACGACTGTTGCTCGTAGGCTCTTCTGTTGATGATTATACACACGTGGTACCAGTGACAAATTAGCGTACATCAAAGACGAAGTGACAGTGTTAATAGTAATAATAGTAATGGTTGGAGTATCAGCAGTAATCGTAGCAGTAGTAGAAGTGATGGTGGTGGTGGTGATAGCAGTGGTAGTAGCAGAGTAACATCAGAAGAGCAAGAAGTAGAATAGATAGATGCAGACATGCGTGTTGAGCACATACAAAAAGATGAATAAAGACAATCAAATGCATTAATACAGCGTTTTACAAAAATTAATTCATTAATAAATTAATAAAATAAATTATTTTATTATTATATGATGATTTGGTGAAAAGAGAATAAACAAAATTGATACTGAGATTATTTTTCTTAGTCTCGTTCACTTAAAATTTTAATAAACCGAAAGTTTATTCAATTATCAAGATAATTTAATTAAAAAATTATTTATCTCGCTTGAAAATTAAAAAAGTTTCTAGAGTTATTTTTTCGCTGCTTTAGATTGAATAATAAAATATCAAGAAGTATATTAATATAGAAAGATAAAATTTAAGCAAAGATAATTGCTTTGATAAAAAAGATGTATATTTATTTTATTCGAGTCACTCTCTATTATAATCCGCTTTCAGAATGATAAATCCAACTGTTCAGTTGGCTATTCGAGTAACTATTAATACTTGTTTGATAATCTTCTTAATCAAACAACATTAGAAACTATAGATAGCTATTAAAATTATTGGTAAAGCATTAGAGAATATTTTTATGGAATAGAATTTGTTGTTGAACTAATAACTTTACCAATCCATCAATGATTCCGATGTCGTATAAGTTTTCAACATATTTTTCTTTAATCCATAAAAATTTTTGATATTCATTCAGTTATTTTCATTCCTTTTCAACATGACAATATACATCTTTTTTAAAAATGTGTACTAACACGCTACATATTATTTGATAGATTAAAAATTCATTCCAAAGTGTGTGTCAAGTTCCAAAGTGTCAAAAAGAATGAAGTCGAAATAGAAAAGCTTGATGGAACGAAGATTACAGACCAGTAGCTGAATGTCGATGAGAGACGTTGTTGATGTGGACAGCTGATGAAAATGAGGACAATATACCAGTTTGACTATTTTGGCTGTTGGTACTGCCAATGCTTCCACTGCTGTTGCTGTTGGATTTTCCATTGCCAGCTAATCATGCAATCAACCATACAACTAAATATTTATATCTGCTCCATTGTTCCCAATGTACTTTCCTCTATATAATGAAGGTAAGCTCTCCATTGATTGGCAATGATATTAAAATACTTGCTCATTCTTACCAATCAGTATCAGCTATGTCATATATCATCGACAATATTATCAGCTTAATACTTTACAAAGGATGTGATAGAGGATACTAAAGCTTGTGCAGTTTATGATTTCAAGGATTCATTATTTTGCATTTTCAATCCAGTATTTTTCATAATAAATTCAAGATTTAGTAAACATAAAATGTTGTAGTAAAACAATTAATTTATTATTTATAGAACCTGAATTGAAAATTAAAGGACTAAAGTTTTTTATTCTTTCATCGTTGCAACAAAAAAAAGTCATTTATTTTTTGTGTGTAATACTATTTTTAAATTATGAAAGCTGCAAAAAGCCAGCTATTCAGCTCGCTAACCCTAGTCCTTTATAATCTGTTTTTTATTTCTCTCTGGCAAATAATTTCATTTAAATAAAAATATTACAAGGTAAAAAATAATCGTCTGTTGAATAAATTGCTTACTACAAAAATATCAAGCTTTAATTGTCAACCATTCCTGTAGGAAGATCTTTAAAATATGGTGCTAAGTGGTATCTAGGGGTATTACTAGTCTGACTAAAGTAAAAACTTACTACTTCGATGAAATATTTTTCTTCGTTGGCTGTCATGAACGATTTAAATACATGCTTTCTAGACTATCTAGCGTTTCTTACTTATTTTTAAGATGCTAAAAATTCTTACCAATATAGGTTCGATAGAAGAACCGTGGAAAATTATTTTTAATTACCATACTTGTGTCCTTGATCTCGAGGCATCGTCAGAACGACCGATAATCAATATATAGCGATATTGTTTACTGTATTACAATTATGTCTCCTAGCTGATATTCAATAATTCATTATACTTATAATTATAATTAAATAAAGAATGTACATTTTTATACACCTATTCAGATAATTGGCTTACATTTTAGCTGATAATATCATTAGTTACATATACGAAATGCTTACGAGCCTATTTTGAGCGTTATTAAGTTAAATATCATGAGAAATTGCTTTTAATTACAATTGGCAAATAATGATATTACATAATACTTATTCAGTTATTTCAGACCAGTGAAATAATTCAAACGTAGATAAAAACACTCGAAATCAACAAGAGAAAATAATGAATAAAAGTATTTTAAAGAATTCATGAAAAATTAGTTAAATTTGAATATTGAAGGAGAACAGGTGCAGTTCACAAGCATTTTGTCCTTCATTAAAAACACTCGTAACAATAATTAGAGGCATTTGTTCAAACTGAACATGACCGAGTTGACTTTTATTGGCAAAATCGAGTGACTCGGCGTTTACCTTGTGCCCCTTGTAGAAGTACTGCAGCTATTCCTAATGGATTCCCTGATCCTTGTGCCTGTTTGCTTCCTGTAGCAGCACCCATAACTTTGGAGAATATAGATGCAGCTGCGGGACTATTAGGCGGTGTGCCCTGGGACGCGTAGCCTAGTTTTTTTTCAGGGAATAGAAATTTTAATTCCAATATTTTTCATCGATTTTCGAATTTTTTATTTCAACCACTTTTTTAATAGCTCTGGAATTTTCCATTTTATTATTACCACATTTAGATTATTTATATTAATTCATCATTTTGGTTAATTTTTTACCAATTCAAAATTGCTCATTGCAGAAATACAATTTTTTTATTGGTTTAGTGGTGTTATTTTTTAGATTAATAGAAAAATAACAGTATTATCGGAATAAAACAAAAAATAAGAACAAAGAAAAATTTTCTAAAATGTTATGCGATAGTCAAATAATAATGAAAATTAGACGTTAGTTTACGCGTATTTGAGCTTGATAAGAATAGTATTGCGATGCATATATTCTAATATATGACAAGATCATCTAAAATAGAATAATGACCATGGCCTAGCTTGTTAAATATTCAAATACTCACATTTTTTATTTAATAATAAACATTTTCAATAATAACTGAATATCAATAAAAAAAATCACCAATTGAAAAATTGAAATATCAACTTTGTAACTCACTGTCAGATTGTTTAGACGTTCCTGGATTACTTGATACTACAGACATCGTGACTCTTTAAGTAGTCTCAAAAATATTTAAAAATACTCGATATACTTGAAGCCAGTGTAAACTTTGTCAATAATTAAACAATTAGAGAAGATAAAATTTCAGCTCAGTGATTTTATTAGCACGGTACATTTTTATTACGTCAGTAACATTCAATGTTACTCGAGCATGATAAACGAGTTCTCGAAACCATCGTGATCTGTTCCGGAATACTAAAAGACTGACTAGACCAGGTAGATATTTTTGCCAGTCTATATAGTAGAGCCTAAAACTGTGAATAGAGTGTATAGATGTACATCAGTTTATCTCTTTCTCTTTCTTATCTTATTTCGTCCGTCTTTTCTCTTTCTACTCTTCTTCAACATCTAATCGACATTCTCATTGCTTCCGCTACACACGCATATAATGCTCAATGTACACGCGAAAATTTATTTTTATAACATCGTTGCTTCTACTTAATATTTTTAGCTACAACATGGAATTAAATTAGTTTCACTTATTTCTCAGATTGACGATCGTTTAACATTTACATAGATTTTACTTTGTTCATTTTTATTTGTTAGGCTTAAACTCATTTCCGGTTAAAAACAAGGCACACCGCGTACAGGTTAAATTGCTTTTTAAAAAACATTAATTTTTATTGAAAAAAAAAATTTTTTTCTCTAGAATAAAAATTTTTTTTTTTTAAATTAATGTTTTTTTCTAATGTAAATAATATTCTGCTATTTCTAATATTTTTATTATTGAAAAAGCACGGTTGTAAATTGAAAACATTAATAGATAACTTCGCAGGTTAATACTTTGATTTAGAGTTGAAGCTCAGAGGAGGTCAAGACAAAATTTTTAATAGCTTGACTACAATTTGTATAAGCTAGCAAAAGCTAGTAGTATGTATTTATAAATAATAGTTGATTATCAATAGTGCTCGAAGCTCGTGTTAATTATCCAAAGATAATTTTACTATGTACGAAGACAAAAATGTATTCGGGATTTTTAGTTTTATATCGAAATAATGTGCGTTGACCCGAGCTTCGCGCGTTGCAAATGTAAAAAAGCAAAAGGAGAAATAAATATACTCGAGGCAAAAAAATGTAATAAAATGGCTGAAAACATAAATCGCTAAAGCGTAAAATTAATATGTATAGGTGTTGAAACAAGAGAAAATTATAATTGTATTATATGATGGTTTCATTTTTACTCTTATGTTAAAGCATGTATATCAAAACATACATGAATAAATGTTAAAAAAAACATTTTCTCCATTATTTCAACACACCAAGAAATGCGTATTTATCGAAAAAGATCTAAAATCATGACACTAATAAAAAAAAGTAAGAGACTAATAAAATTCTGAAGCATAAATTAAATGTTAAAAAAGTGTTTAACATTTAAATATTAAGACATTGAAAATTGATTAATTAATTAGTGTCTCAAATCTATGTAAATACTTGTTATACATTTGTTAGCGTGTAAGTGTGGGTGTCAATATGCTTGGCATTTATTATTGACAGTTTAAAAATTTTTTTTGAATTGTTTAGTATCTGGGTTACCTTCGGGTTCTTTGGCAATGACCGTGCTGCTCCGGTCGACACCTCCCTTCTTATCCTCTGTACAACATATATACATATACATCTCGTACGCATGTACATTATACGTTGTTAAAATTTACTTCTATTTACATCTAATTATTTACGATTCATCAATACTCGAATCTTAGATACTTTACTTTATCTAACAAAACTTTTTTCAATTTTATTTTATCATATTTTTATTATTAAAATTGTTTTAAAAAAACTTTGTCTTCAAAATGCTTTTAATTATAATTAATATTATGTAATTTATTTGTGTCAAAAAATGATTTATTATCAATTATTTAATATCATCATGACGGGTTTATTTTTAGAAATACTATATTTAATACCATTTGTGAAATTAAACTTGATTGTAAGAGAAAAGATAGAGGGATGACAAGTAATCATGCGAGGTACAAGGTTTACATGCACACAGCGATTATGGAAATGTACTTATTTTCTAATAAGTAAAATGACTCTCTACGACTGCCCTTTACTGATACAATATTTAATAATAATGATTAATGGTTTTACTTCTAGCAAAATTTATGGTGAAAATTCACAACAATGTGAATCTTTAAGGTATTCAATTGGTATATCAATATATAATGAACGGTGAGAAATGATTTTGAAATAAATTTGTGCAGTACTGTGTGCTCAAGTAATTTTTGCTGATGAAATTTATTGGCAAAAATGAAAAAAAATACGTGAATTATCCTAGATTAATAATTAAATAAATAAATAAAAAAAGTGCCTTTCAATTTGAATCAGTGCAAGGGAAATGTGAAAATTAGAGAGATTGTGAAGAGAGGTAGACAGATATATAGCTCAGACAGTTACATGTGAATACATAAAAACATTTATTAATTATTTATATTTTTAATTTCATAAAAAAATATATTAACTATATATATTGATATTTATTGTGTAAAATTTGTTTTTTATAAGGAAAAAAAAAATGAATATAATTTTAGTTAATTATTTAATTTGGGTTTTAAATACAAAACCTTGTAAACTTATGTAATGAATATGCAATGAGCAATAAATGCTTTCTATTAAGCTAGATATCTAATGGAGTTTTTAATAATTATCATAAAATTATTTAAGGGGTAACTTAAATTTAATTTAGAAAAAATGTAGATATTCAATTAATATTTACTCCTATTGATTTGATGTATATGCAAGCAACAAAAGCATGATCAAGTATTATTGAACAGATATTGAATAGAAAAATTGATAATAAAAGTAAAGTTGCAAAAGAAGAATAAGTACCGGGATCGCATTAGAAGCTTCAATAGAATTCGGTTAAGCGGATTTGTATTTTGCGATTGAAGTTGAATTTTATATAGATTTAATAGAAAAAAAGATATTATTATTATTATCATAATATTAAAGACAAGTAGTTAATGTGTTAAATATATTTAAGAATAAAATAAAGAATAAAAATAGAATGTTTAGAATGATAGTGCAAAAGTATTGAAGTATTAAAGTATTTAAGTAAAGAAAATTCTGTATACATACTATTTTAGAATTTAATTAATTTATGGTTGAAATTTATTTATTAAGTTAAGTAGTTATAAAAATACTGTCGTTAAAAGTATAAAAAGTAGTCCAAAATTATGGCCAAGCAATGAAAAAGCAAAATCCTGCATGTTAATTGACAATGAGTATAGAAAGTTCCATGAGATTAATGAGGAAGATACGTGATACAACAGAATTCCTTATGTTTAGCATGGTCACTGACAATGTGATTCTTGTAATGTAACTAATTTTAGTATGAAAACTCAAGTAATGTTTTTTCTTCAAACTGATGTTATTGATAGCGAAGCTCCTGATTAACAAAATAAATGATAACCTAATTTACTTTGTGTATCATAAAATATTTTCCTACATGATAGAAAAAGAGATTCACACTGAGAAAAATATCATTATTCATGTGTTCATAGTTGAAGGTTATCTAAACTTATGGAATGATCACATGGGTATTTTTGTCAGTTTTTATAATTAATAGCAATTAAGATATAAAGATTAAAAAAATACACCATAAACAGCTTCAGTTTAAAGTCTACTGTCATTTTCTGATGATTTATAGAGCAGTATTGGTAAGTAAAATTATTGGGAATGAAAATTATAAACATATTATTATATGAGATTTGATGTTTGTCTATCAATCTATCTCTCTCTCGTTCTCTCTTTCTGATTAACTTGATAGTAATCCAAGTGTAAAACAAAACATTGTATTGGCAAATACAAATAACTCGAATAAACTTATAATATATTAATAACAGTTGATGGAAACTCTAGTACTAAAAACTTCACTCTGCATATTTTTCATTAGTCTGCTAATCTTCATTAAAAATAAATCTTAAAATGAACTATCATCAATAATGAATAAAATTATTTTTAAAAAAAAAAGGCAGACTAGTGTACTGCTACATAAAATTACAGCAGAACGTAAAAGAAAGTCTATTGTAAAGTAAAATAGATATATGTATCAATTGATATATAGATCTAAGTTATTATAGCAAATTTAATAGCAATAATTGTAACAAAATAAATTTGCTTGATTTGTAGATTGGCAATATAATAGTCAACAACATACCAAGAAATTCATGAAGAATGATTGATTATCATACTAACATTATCAGCAGGTCTGTTATAGTGCCATAGTTCTTGTATGAATTTTCAGTAAGTAAAGTTGATTAAATTACATAGACATTTAATACCAATTGAGTGAGGTCATTAACGGAATACTAAGTTTCTTAATTACACCTAATATGTACTTCTACTCTAGAAGGAATTGATATTTGTTGTAATAATCCAAGAGAAATTGGTCTACATAATTTAATTGAAATCCACTTGAAGCTTGAATCAATTACTAAAATTTATGGACCATTTTTTCTAGATCAAAACAACAAGAACCCTGAAGAAAGTAGCACACAGTCACATCAAGGATCTGATGGGGAATTAAATTGAGTTCATAACAAACTGAATCCACATAGTAAGAAAAGTAATATGATAGTAATATAAGGTGTGTTGACAACATCTTTATTGGATGACCCCCAAAACGTCTACTTGGGTTTCAAATGCTGCTACGATTAATCATTTGTAGTGTAATTCTTCATGTGATAGATCAATATTGCACTTTCTGTCCCAAATTACGTTTTCAATACTATATTACGATAACTCGTGGCGGATAGGCTTAAAAAGTAGGGAAAATGGTACCTAAATCCTAATTTGTCATATAAATAGGAAGGGTATACTATTTGGGAGCAGTGAATTTATTGAACTACGTGAGAATACTATTTTGTCTATAGGGCTCACTACAGCTATTGATTTGGGGCATACAAGCATGAAGAAATTTCACATGTCACTTTTATTCTATCATATATCATTTCCAGGGTATTCTTCAGAAACTTTTATTTTATGTCTACTCATATCCTCTACGACATCTCTTTTGTACTTTTCTTTTTCTTTATGGTCATCAACGTGTCTTATACATTAATTTACTTTGACACAACTATTCTCGTCAAATGAAAGGACTATTTGCGTTGAAGTTAAACTGTCATTGAAGGCAATGTTAAATGTACAAAAAAAATATTAACATTATTATTAGCAATAAATATTTATTGTTGACGCAAAAAAACCTTTCAAAATCACGAAAAATGTTTTCATTTATTTTGGCTTTGATAGCGGGTTCAAAAGGGCAATGCGGGTGGGGAATAAGCAATTATAACGTAACCTCCTACCTTTAACATCGTCGTCTTCAATCGTGGTACTGCTGTCGGTGGATTCCTTCACTTGAGAGCCATCTCCCTTCTTCGTAACGATGCTTCGAGCTGGAGTATGTAAATGTATTGGATCAATGACAAATGCTTGGGATACATATTCAGGATTTCGAAAAATGAATAAGGAATGGTGAAAGAACGATCAAAAAAATATATTGAAATTTTGATGAGAGAATAAACGATATATTAATCGTAAACATGTCTTCATGATCTTAATTTTGTTGATCATTATGAAATGTAATATGAGTTTCATAATGACATTAAAATAAATTTTGATGTTGAGATATAAATAAAAATATAAAAGAAAATTTTAATGATAATTATAATGTGTTATTATTCAAAAGAAGAAATGTTTTAATGAATTAGCATAATTTTAAATAAAAATACTAAAAATGTTGTAATCTACACTTTTGAGTAGAAAAGGTCATTATTGTAATCATAAAATAAATAGACTTTAGTAAGACATGTATATTGAATTTAGTAATAATAATATTTCAAATAAATTATTAAATATTGAACGAGAGCAAGATTTTTTCTTAAAAATATCAAAAATACTACTTTATTATTCGTTTATTCTCATTTCAGTCCTGTCTTCAGTCAATATTAAAAAATTTTAATTCAAAAATTCATCAGTTTATATTTTATGAAAAATGATGCTGTCTTTTATAATAATATTTTTCATCTGAATAAAATAAAAAAATCTAAAGATTCATAACATCATCATCATCATCATTTTTCATTATTTTTATAATTCATAATAATAATTAAAAATTTAATTGGTTCAAAAACAAGGTATAAAGGATTCTGTTTGCATGCTAGAAATCTGCACAAGTTATATTAAAACAAGGAGTAGTAGGATTTTCCCAAGCCTATTGTTTTTTTTTCGTCTATTATAATATAATAGCTCTTAGAAATTCCGTTATACTCCGAACTCTAATTTTTAAAAATATTTAATTTAATTATAGCAGCATTTAATTCTGGGGAAGGCAGTTAAACGTGCATGAACAGCTTACATTCCAGCATTTTAAAGACTGTGAGTATAATACAAAAATACATGTTCTAATCGGAGATGTATGTATTTAAAAGATTTTACTATTCGTCAAAGTTTTGTGAAGCAAAACCTATGACTTCATGCAGTGAATAACGCGTGTACATGTCAAAAGCAATACAATTAAGTTAGACCAACAAAAGACTTATATATAATCTCAAACTAACTACATTTTACGAATAAATGGCTATGAAAGTTTATCTCGTCTTTTATATATCATATCATTTTCTCACAAATTGGAGTTACGTTTCTCTTCAAAATATGTTCTTTCAGAAATTAATAAATTTGATGAGAACTTTTCTGATTTAAATTTCAACATGATGTAAAGAGTTTAGGAGGTTTTCCTCAATAGTAAAAGTTTTATTGCTAGGTTATAGTCAAATTCCACCAGCTATTATTACACTATTAACAATGAAGTTCAAAAGTTTATGTTAAATTGATATTTTTCTATTTTAGTCCAGTTTAGCAACTATAACTATATTACTGCTGTAAACATAACTTCTAAAATTGATTACTTTTTATTTTAAAACTACTGCCTGTCAATATCTTAAGTGACTTAAATCCTTGATTAAAATAAGAAACTCATTTTTTATTTTTATTTGTCACTGATGAGGAGAAAATAATTTCAAGTTGAATTTAAATATTTAAGGATTCGTACAAGTATTGTGCAACTTGAAATATTTATATTGCTCTAAAAGTGAGTTGAATAATTTACTTTTTGTTTGTTTTACAGAATTTTACTAAATTTGCTTGCTTTAGGACATTAATTACGCAATACTCTCTTTTAATTATCGATTTTAGCATAAATAGTTAACAGCTCTTGTGTAATTGCTATCCGAATCTGTCATCTGTGAATATATCTTCACATTAAAAACTAATTATGCAAAATATATCCTCGCAATTTTCATTAAGTAGAAAAATATTAAATTGTAAAAATTTAGTAACTAAATTTAATGAAGTCCATTAAATACAACCTGTACTACATTATTTCTACTATTGCATAGAGATAAACTCAACGGAATAATTAAAAATTTGTAAAGCCATCCAATATAATTTATTACGTGTTTAGTTGAAAATAAATGCAATCAAATTAGCGTTGTTTATTCTAACGTAGCGAATTAAAAAACTCAAATATCAAGCATTCAAAAGCATGAGCATTAAACAAATTTTATCAGTTTAAATTTAAGCTGAAAATATTGCTTCTTTTCAATTCATCAAGCGGTCGTGATATTGTGGAGTAATTTCAAGATCAAACATATTGTCATAAATAAAACAATATTGTAAAAATTTTAAAAATATTATTATTACCATTTGTCTCAGTTTTATGTCTGTATTTCACAACAAAACAAAAAAAAAAAACAAAAAAAAACTATAGATAAACAAATAGACAAATTACTTATGTCTTATATTTTTTTTATTAAAAAAAGCAAAATTATAAATCATAGATAAAAATATTTGAATGATTATTATAGATTAATAAAAATGTAAAATAGAGTTAAATGAGAAAATAGGATTCGAGTTATACGGTACAGCGCCTCCGACCCAATTCATACGCAAGTTTCATAAATTTAATAGCTTAATTTTTTAAACGAGTAAGCAGGATACTATCATGATATGAAAATAAAAGATAGATATAGAATTGAATGAAAATGATTTAGAATAAAGAAGCAGAGTTGAATGAAATTTCGTATACCTTATTAGCATCATTAATTTTGATTGTACAATATTCAGTAAATGAATATTCCGCAGGTACTTATGATTGCGTGATTGTATAATACCAGCATATTGATTATATCGTTTCATATTTCAATCAGTTAATTCGATTTCTATCCTAACTTTACTTATTAAATTTTCATGAAACATGAGCCTCAACAATAACTACCTATTGTCATATAAATAAGTTTTCTATTTTTCTAATTCACTAGAGAAATGATAAGAGTCAATATAGAAACATGGAAGAGAGAAAGAGAGAAATAGTTAATAGATGAAATGTAGAATTGTAGATATATAAATAGAACAAAGAAGACTTAAGGTGAAAGATGAAAATGAAATACCTAATATCCAATTAAAAAAAGTTATGATCTTTTTTGTTTATTTTATTGAAAAAATCACTTATAAGTCATACATAAAAGAAAATATATGAGAAAGTGATTCAGATAAAATGGCAACTTTCAATTGATTTCCTTTATAGAAAAATGGATATTCTTTTTCTTGTGATATTTTGAAAGAATTTCATCCAAGATTATAATCGACTTTGAAAGAGTAAAAAAAAGAGCAAATCGATGCGTACAACAATGTGCAACGATGCAACACTGCAAGCATCAAAGTTATATGTATGTTCCTTCTACTTATATGCTTCCCGATACAGAGCTTTTGTCTTGGATCGAAGTTAACGTTGGACATTCTACCTTAGGTACATGACTATGTGCATTATTACCCTTTTTTACTACCCGTTCCCACAGGCAGCCTCTTCTTTTTTTTATTATTGAAGCGCGTAATTCGATAATGGTCACTGTCATCGAGGATGACTATCACGAGTGAAGAAACGAGTAAGTGGTAAGAGAATGACCTCGATTATTCCCGGTTAATTGCAAATCGACTGCGACCTTATCACATTAGAATACAAGGTTAATTTTAACGTCATACGAGTATTCAATCGATCACTATAAAAAATTACTATGAAATTTTTTTATGAAATTCTTTAGTTTTATCTGATAATTATAAAATTAACAAAAATATTTTATATCATAATTATTTATCAAAGAGTCATTTTAAATAAATACACAAAACTACATTTACTAAATAAAAACTATTCTAATATCATCATTAACCATGAACAGGCTATAATAACCATAGATTTGTAAAATGATGCAAAATAATTGAACAGGTATATCAATACGTAAGTAATGAGACATGGATATTAGTTATCAAATTGTAATAAAGATTAAAGACATGTAATTATTTCAAAGATAAAAAATAAAGAAACAATCTGATAGCTACAATATTATGTGCTCTAATAGTCTAATTCAAAATTAGATATTATTAACATGACGAAAATTATTGTGTGTTGTGACACGCAATCCGTAAATCAAATATGAAATGCTATTTCGTGTATGAAACATAATATGACGGAAATAAAACTTTTGTTCTAGTATGCAGGAGTAAATGAATCCACACGATGGATTTTCATTTTCCATGCTCTCAAAAGGAGAAGGATTGTTTCAGAAATATTATACTTAATTATTATTATTATCATTATTATTATTATGACATCAAGTGTAATGCATACTTTTCGAAAAACAAAACAGTTATAAATCTAAATACGAAAAATTAAAATTGTTAACTCTATAATAATTATTATAAAAATTATTTATTATATACAAAATTAGGTTTTTATTTATTGGAAGACTAGATTTATTTAAAAAAAAAAAAATTAAACATTTATTGCACTGCCTGATAATAAATATTTTTAATAACAAAAACTGATAATTTTTTGTTGTAATAAATTGAATTTTTTTTATAAAAACTTCACTTTGAAAATTAAAAATTAAATTTCTCTCCAAGTTTAATAATAATAATAATAAAAAACTCAGTTATTCGAGTCATTTTCCTTTTACGATTATTTTTCAAATACGATAACAAACTTAATTCTTCCTGACTCACTAATCTACTAATCATTCGACTTTATTTAAAGAGTCATTACAGTGCTTTTAACGAAATTATATGATTAAAAAATGTCTCAACTAATTTTCATGAAGATAATTTTTTCAACGAAAAAACAATCTAAATGGATTAAAAGTTTCTCTATTAAAACAATATTTTAATCTATCAAGCAGTGAGTTATCGATCATTAGATCATTTACATGATAAAATAAAGTAATTTTATGAATAACATAAATACACGGAGAAAAAAGTAAAGAACAAATGACCGGAATTATCATAATAATTATAAGACAACGCGAGTAAAAGTAGGGATTTGATTAGAATTATATTTGTTTCATACCCATTTTATCCGTTTTGAATTTTAGTTGAAATTTTTTCGTCCTGATAAATTTTTCCTACTCGCAGATTTGAACTAACAACCGTTCTCGTACGCATACGACTTGAACCTACGCTTTAATCTTCTAAACTATCCTACTACTTCTTTTGTAAACAAGAACATTGAAGTAAGAAATGAAAAACAACGATTAGATTGAATGAATTTATCAGCACACAGCTATTACTTTACGATGAATGATATTTACTTCCCAATCTTCAGAAATCCATATGCCAATAATAAATTCTTAGAACTAAATAAAAGGTAACACAAATTCCTTTAGTGTAAGGTTCAATTTTAATCCACTAAAATAAAATGAAATAAAATCAACATTACGAGTCTTACTATTTTTCTCCGTGTTCTGCACGATACTAACACTAGATGTTTTGGCAAGTTTAGATTTCCCCAGAGTAATTAATTTTATTTACATTTAACTTTGATGCATTTTAATTTAATTTTAATTATAAAAGTTCTATCTCAGTTGAATGGATAAATATAGAATTATATCCAGTTCATAGATAATGTGCGACAATAATAGTGTATGATTCGTAAGATAAGATGCAGTATGAGGGTGATGGAACAATTGGTTGTAACGAGCACTACATTATACTCTGCCACAAGAGGATAAATTAACTATTGAGTATAAAATATTATACGTGACATAGTATGACAAATACAAAGGACTGATGTAGATGATGTGAGAGAGTCTCGTGAGAATTAAATAATAAACATTAAACAAACAGTGATTTAGTGAATGTGTGAACGAAGGTAAATATGCAACAGATAGGGACAAAGGAAATACAATTCGTCGAGCTCCACGTAGCGCTGAAGAGGGCCGGAGGTACTCACCTTGTCCATCATACTTACTGGAAAAGTTCCGCGTGGCTATCATTGTAGTTAAAATAGCGCCCTGTTAACATAATTTTTAAAAATATTCATTACCATTCATGACAAAATATAATTAGAAATTTCAAAATTACTTTCATACAGCTAATTAATGAAGTAGTTTTATAGAGAAGTAAATAGCAGGAATATTTTTAACCTCTTGTATGTTTGGTGATGTATTTTCCTGATTATCCATCATAAATCTTTATTTTCGTGATGTATTTTTTTCTCTAGACGAGCACTGACAATATGAATCAAAATTATTACAGCAAGAATAACGATTTGAGTTTTGTATCACACAAAATGCGACATAGGCCGGTAAATATTCGTGACACTGCAACTATTCACACAACGAAATAAATTCAAATGATAAGTAGTGAAGGCCAAGCCTTAGCAGTACTTAGATTCACTCAAACTATCAGAATGGTATGAGACTGTTTAACAATCCGGTCTACACTGACGATTATTGTCATTGGCATGTATATATCAAGACATAGTGTAAGTCAAGCCACATCGATAAAGTTTGTGGGAGACCTTCGATACCCACAATATTTTTTGTTGCAGAACAGAAATTCTCATATTATTCTCCTTCAACTACAACTACTGCCTAGTAAATAGCATCAATCAATTTGGTAGTGACTATTGCAGTCAATATATTCCTATATACCTGCTGCTGAAGAGAATATATATGACAGAAAACAAAATAAATTTCACGTGCTGAATATTATCCTAATATTTATCTATATCGTTTTATATACATATTTCACATGTGCTGTGCGACCGACATTTGGATAATTGAGGTGAAGGCCTCGTAATTACCGAAACGATAACGTTAACGACGAGAAACTCACGCCGATCGTGTTCAAGGGAAATTTACGACGATGGTGTGCTAGAAATTCTCAATTCCATGGAACTATCGGTGAATAACTATTAGCAGACCCTATCCACTTGACAATTAATGGCTTCCAAGATGTTCTCATTCAAGTCAACTCACTCATCTCGCTGCATTAATCAGTTCATCGATACAACACATTATGCCACAATCATTTCATGACCATTACACTAATGTTTGTAATTCATTTACTTTCAACTCTTATGGAAATGAAAACACAGCTATCTCAAAGAAATGGAAATTACTTTTGCTAACTTTCTCGTTTGTTTTTGGTTGAAGTAAATCAATAAACAGTAATTCAATGAGTAATTGTTGATTTAAGTTACGATAGAATAAGGTATTGTAACAATAAAGTAACAACAAACTTACTTTTAATTTGCGCCTTGCATTGAATTTCTTCAAGCAATCCACAGTCTCTTGTCTGTGGACCACTGATGCAACACGTTCGCGTTGCTGTAATGAAAGAAAAAATAGATATTAACATAAGAATGGTGGTTATTACATCATATTTTTATAAAAAAAAATACAATAAAAAAGTATACGAATACTTACGCAAATCCAAGGGTGCCTAAGTGCTTCACTTGCGGTGATACGCTTAGTTGGGTTGACTGTTAACATCTGATTGATGAGGTTTCTTGCTTCTGGCGTCACCGTATCCCACTCAGGACTTGGATACTGCCACATACATCGAATAAATATAATGCTAATTAGTTGCCGTATTGTTCAAGCATCATTAACTTCTGATAAGTAACAGTCTTACATCATACGCTCCAGCTTTAATTTGACTATATAACCGGTGTTGATCTTCATCCCAAAATGGAGGATAGCCCACAAGAAGAATGTAAAGAATGACTCCACACGCCCAAATGTCAACTGGCTTTCCGTATGATTCTTTTTTGAGAACTTCTGGGCTAAGATAACCGGGCGTACCAGCAAAACCTTTTAAATCATATGAAATATTCAGTCGATTATAAAAGAAATAACAAAAAAGAACATTGTAAAAGATGCATTGTGCTTTTTCCACAGCAATTTCTCTTATCAGTAAAAAGTTTTATTTAACAATTAATCAATATCTACATACCATACCACGCTTGTACATCTCCTTGCACTTCAATTGCTAACCCAAAGTCTGCTAATTTTACTGCAGCACCCTTGGCTTTGCTTGCAAGAAGAAGATTCTCTGGCTGTTGATGATAGTAAATATTATATATAAGTTGAATTAATTAAATTAAGTAAAAAAGTGAAGTCACTGTTTATTATATTTATTGATAAAGTTTATAGAAGTACCTTGAGATCCCTGTGCACAATTCCATTGTGGTGGCAGTGATGGACACTTTCCAGGATTTGTTGTATACAGTGGGAAGCATCAGCCTCGCTGTAAAATTCTCGGGCGACGATGTCCTCGAAAAGTTCGCCGCCAGTGACTCTGAAAACAGCGAAAAACTTGGCGTAGATTATTGGCCTTCATGGTGCAACAGTCAAGAAACTTGCGTTTGCCTCTAGCTATAGATTCAATGCTCTATATTTGAATATGATTAAGATGATGCAAAACATTGGATAGGTGTATAACTGGAGAGAAAACTTCTTATTAAAAAGCTTTTTTAGATATTTCTGTTCAAACAGTCCAATGAAATTGTAAAGAATTTTAATATACATTCACCAATAATGTAATGTTTAATTGAGCATTCCAACTACTTTCTTCTTTGATATTCAATACAAAATGCATTTCTTTCATCGAGTTATTACTTACAGGTCGAAGACGAGGTAGTGGCAGTTTTCTTCTTGTATACTTTCGTGTAATCGAACTGAAAAAAAATGAGAAAAACAATTAGATTGTTTTCATTTATGAAAATTTACATGAAATAAATATTTAGAATAAATTTTCTTGCTTAGTATATGAATAATTATACAAGTTTTACTTTGAGAAACTCAGCAATAATGAACAATGGTTCATCATCAAAATTAATTAAAAACTTTAATGAATAAATTTCAATGTGTGTCTTAAACATTCATTTTGCTTTAACAAAATACTTTGTTTATATCTTGATAATGTTGAAAGCATCATTTTTATCTAGTAACTTTTCTTATTTCTACTGACTATAGAAATTGTGATGGTCTAAAATATCATCAACTGAACGAACAGTTGAAGTTTTAATAAGTATTATTAAATTTCTCGAGCCTCAGTTAATTTGTTGGCTAATACAATATAGAATCATGTTCAAACAAGTACCTGTGTTTAGCATACATCTCAAATAAATCTTGGAAAATTAGGTAGAAAAAGTTGAGATATTGGAGTTCGTATGAAAGTGAGTATAAATTTTTACAACTTTATTATAAAATATAAAAAAAAAGATAATGAAAAATATTTTCATTTTAATATTATTGAATGTAACTAAATCTATGAAATTTCTGTGCAATACAATATTAGAAATGATCATGACTTGAGTAAAACTATATGCTAAGGAAATTGGAGAAATTCTTACATAACAATAAGTCTTTGCACAACCTGAAGGTTATATGGGCAGAATTTCATTTACTGGTGCAATGAGAAACTTGCTGAGAAACTTCAAAATTCAATAATAATACAAGTTTGTTTTAATTAAATTTACATTCGTATTATTATATATGTGAGTATAAATTAGCCCTAAAGTAAGCTGGAGCACGTTGAAAACATCATAAAACACAGCACAACTATAACTCGATACATAATAGTTCACTATGAATTAGAATTCAACGTTAAATCTCGATTATATTTGTGTCATAGATCAATCAGCTGCAGAATTAATTTCTCATCAATCTATGTTGGGGCTGTTTGGGGCCGACAAGAAAAGAGGAATTTATGAGCAAACTTACGCATAATAACACGTAAGTCACGCTAAGGAAGAATTGAAAATTTATAGTATTGTGTAGACCAATAAAAGTACATAAATAAATATCTAAAAATAGTAATCAATATTATAACCCAGATTTTCTGGCAAATGATTGATTCAACATCAATCAAATGGATTATTATTATTTGAAGAAATTTTTTTGCAATAGCAATTTATCAATTCGTTCATTGATTTACTTTTAAATTTCATTCCCATATCAAGAAATGACTTTCTTATTCTTATCTATACAAAAATAGTCTGAAGTAAGACCAATTTCTGAATCTAATGGTGATGAAATTCACATATTACAATTACCCTAAAACTGCATGTGACTATAGTCAGGTACCAAGTCTGGTATTATTGATTTGATCATGGCTATCTTTTAATTGAGCCAAATAAAGAGACATACAGATAAACATCCCTCTAATGAAACAAATAATTCTCCAGTTTTAAGTAAAAAAGCTTTTAATTTTTTATCCATGGTCTTTTGAACTTAACAGTTGATCAATTTGTCTGCTTACTCTTGAGATCAATTCCTGCATCTAAATGATGATAGCAAAAGATCTCTTTCTCCAGTGGATGTTAAATATTTATAGAGATAAAAGAGAATAAAGACAAAAGCATGACACTATTTAAATGTTTCGGAACGTTAGTTTCACCATCGTAGAGTCGAAAAGTACCGTTGCAGAACGTAGTTACATGACGTTGTTGAGAACAAGCATGGCGTCTAGTCGGTCCCGAGAGTAAAATACTGTCTATACTACCCAAGTCAAAGTATTATATCGTGCTTATCGATCGTAGCCACACCTTGATGCATTTGTGCAGGGCCACGCGACATAAATCGATTATGTATCCTCGTCTTTGTTTTCCTTTCCATTCAGTCCTTCTTACTGTTTTGTTTCCCATTGTATCAATACTAAACCGTCCAAGTAAAATCGATGAACAGCTTCCCTTTAGCTACTGGAATGTTTTGTAATCATTTGACGCTTTCACACTCTCCTCTCTCTCTTCTAGGATATCATCCATTGACAAATAATTATTGTTTGCAATAGAAAAATCAAAGATATTCTCTAGGACAAATTCATGGCTGGTGAATTATCAAAGATGAAAATATCGATCCGGACTTATAGTTCTAAAGGCGGTGAAAGCTTGAAGTTAAATAGCCAAGCTTTAATATTCAACAAGAATATGTATTATTTCTTCTAAAGTTTATTTAATTCACACACTAATTTTCTATTGAAATACATTATTGTTAATAAGTGAAAATGTGAGACCTAGAGTATTATTGAGATTAACTATATCAGATTTACCTACAAAATTCATGACATTATAGAATGAGTATTTAACATTATGTTCTATGTGTATTTAATACCATGCCTATTATTGAGCAGCTAAATGCCACCGACTTTAATTAATAAATTAACCATGTATAATTTCAACCTCAATTATTTTCTTTTTACTTTTTTTCTAGACTTCAGAAGATAATCAACAAAATAAACAATCGAATTCTATTGAATTAAAATTTCAATTTATTTACATTAAATGTTAATTTAGGTAACAGAATAAATTGATAAATTCATTTTATTTTTGTAAGTATTGCTATGTTTATATTTCAGTTAAAAAGGATTCAAAATATTTGTTTTACGAATTTTGCATTAAACTGAATACATATTGAAATTATTACTTTATATATTTTGTACACAGATCATAATAATTTTGTTTGATTATGAATCATTAAACAAAAAAATCCTGACCTTATTATAACAAATAAACAATTATTCTACATAATTCCCTTGTGTGCTATGAATAAGATTGCATGAGCCATTAAATTGCTTCTGATTATAATACAGTGTTAAGTAGCCATACATAATAAATATTATCCACAATACATAATTAATTCAATTGGTTGATATAATAAAAATATATTTATCTTTTCATCTAATGGGCAAATTTTTTTAATAAACAGTCTAAATAATTCAATCTTCAAAGCTCATTAATCTCATGCAAAACTAAATTGCTATAATTCATTAAGCATGAAATTAAATAATTGATATCTTTAAAGTGAATATTTAAATTAAAAGGTAAAAAAATGCATTGATAAGTAATCTCAAACAATTATTGTAAATGGGTAATTCTCTGTTCTATGTCACATAATTCGATTATTCGATAGCTAACACTTTCCTCTGAGCAGCATTTTATAGCAGGTGACTGGTAATCAAGTTGCGTGTCAATAAAATATGCTAGTTAATATTTCATAAGAAAAAAAAAAACAAAAAATAAAAGAAATGAACAATGACAATTACACCTGGTTGGAGTATATTAATAAGAGACCAGCAGAACCATCGAGATTGCAAGCTAAAACTTCTTTGGAGAGTGTATATATCAAAGGACGCACTTAATGTAATTCAATTAATTTTAAGGTGCCTCGAGCACTACAAAAAATCTACTTTAAAACACCAAACTCCCGTGCAGTAAATTTTTACAAATAAAAAGTTACTGATGTGATAAAAGTTGCATTAAATTTATGCTGTCTAATGTTTCTGGCTTTCAACATGAGTAATAAAAGCATGGCTTATTCTTTTGATGTTATCAATGTAAATGAAGTTAGTAAATCAAACGTTGTCAAGCTATCTTGCAATTTTTTTAATTGTAGAGCAAAACAACAAACCAAGTTATCATCATCAGGTCAATCCTTTGTTTTTATGTACAAGAATCGATGAAGTGTTTTAAAATACCTCAAGAATATTCTATGATGTGACTTGTTGAAAATATCAATTTTTTTTTGACTTGTAAATGATGCATTACTATCTTTTATGATTTTATTTACATACTCATAACAATAGTTTCAGGTTGCTACTGATTGAATTTTTTATATCTTCATATAATAAGACTAATTTAAATTTTATGAGAAGAATTTTAAAAAAAGTTCTAAACTTTTGAAGATGCTTCAAATTAATTTGATTATTTGATTTCTAAAATCTAGGCAATAATTTTTTTTTGAAGGATGAAAAAAAAAAGTATAATTGACTTTTTAATCTCCTACATATGAGCTTCAAAAAGTCTCACATTCATCGAACAAAAATCAGACGAACGATGAAGAGGACATGTATATTGAAAATTGAATTGAATTGTCGATATTCTATACCCACACTTTCCAAAGACTGACAATTTGAGTATAAAGTACATGCTGTACAAGACTTTTTCATGATAGTTATTATTGATAGTTGCGCGCTTGGCCTCCAGTTGAACGTCGTGCAATGAATAAAAGAAACGTAAAGGAAATGCTATATTTGTGATCGTCTGCTAGCAACATATACACAGCCGTTGATCTGTCTTTCGAAATAAATCCAATGAATTATTAATAAGGAAGAGTGATCCTGCATGCAATTGGTTTAGAGTATGAATAAGGAACCCTTTCTCTATTTATGTAGGTTGATGATTATCCTACGATTAAAAAAAAATATGTACTGCTCCAACTTTAAACCCTTCTTATCTCTCATAATACTTTTAGATTATCTTAGCATCGAGTTTGATCAGATAAATATTAAGGGCCTAAGTTTGTGAAGAAAGTTGGGAAATTAATATGAAATAAATATCCTATGAACTCTATTAGGGCTTTTATTAAATTTATCATCAGCAATTAATAATTTTTAAGGATACATTTCAGACCATTTTTAGTGTATTAAAACTTTATAACTGGAAAAAGTTTTTAATTAAAATTAGAAGAGCGTGATAATTGATAAATAAAGAAAAAGTCTTGAGTATCTCGATGTGAACATAAGTTGGTAGAGTCTTTTGTTGTTTAGCACGTGACTAAAAATGCTAGAGTCAGCTTTTACTAGAGTTTAGAGATGACAGCATGCCATAATATATCAAGGTAAGTATTCATATGGATATATCTGTGCCATATAAAGAAAATGAGAGAAAAAAAAATTATAGTTAAATAATTATGAAATTTTTTGCATAGGTTTAATTACTACTGATAAACCTAACACCTGAAAGTTCTCCCCACTTCTTCCCGAGAAACATTCCGCAGTGCAGAAGCTGCGCAAAGTATTTCGACGCCTTGCAACTTTGTCTATTCACGGGACATTTGTGTCCTCGTTTTGTTCTTTGTCAATGCTTTCACGAGCGTTAAATTTTTTCTTTTATGTTTCTTTTTTCTGTTGCCGTTTTTTTTTATCACCAGCCCTCTTGAATAACCTTTAGAGCATCAAAGCAACGACAAATTAGCACATACGATACGTCACTACGACCCTAACAAGCAATAAATTTAAAGACCATCCTAGAAAACATTGTCCAAGTCACCCTTCTTAAAGCTTCAATTCCTTGCGGCAATAACTTTAGAAGTGAACGACTACATGAGTGAAAATTATTTTTTATTATGATTCAATTATTCAAAGATATTCCATTATCAACACAATCTTTAGCTTGGGAATATTTATGGGAAAAAATTGTTTAATAATTCAATATGAACATCATTATCTTCTGTTAATAGCATGTTCATAATCATTAACGTTTCGATGTTAGAAAATTTTTGTCCTCCCTACAGTGAATTCCTCATTCGACAGCGAGTTTCCTGTGGTGGAGTCCAATGATAATGACAGTCTGGCTGTGAAGATCAATCAACTGCCATCAAGGAGAGTTAGATTGGCAGGCATTAGTTGTAGTAAATACATGCTCAACATGAGAATAAGGAAATGAAAATGTGTTCAAGTACATTAAATGATATAAAGTGTTCTTTATTTTCCACTAATCAATCAGTACATTAAAGAAATAGCATTGTAAGAATCTCTACATATTCTCTCCTGATTTATCAATGATGTTAACTTATTCTTCAAGTAAAAATTTATCAACATGAGTCAAATAAATTCTATCTATCTTGATAAAAATGATGCTTTCTGTACATCTGCATGTATTAATCGTTTCTCTATTTGTTTATCTAGACACTATATTGACTTGAGTGCCAATTATCAAGCCAGCACTTTCTACTGATTTGATAAGTAAATATTTGGACTTAATAGATCAGCACATTTAACTAGTTTAATCAACTATTATTCCAGTTAATTGATCTAGCTATTTTACTAATCTTTGAGTTCTTCATACATCATTTGATGATAGAAGAAACAGTTAACGACAATAGATTATTTCAAGAAATATTTCATTGTTTCTAACAGAGAAATATTAACTTAATAAGAATAGAATTGTTATTGGAATTATTTTGTAGTGTATAAAGCACTAGGTATTTAATATGCTGATATATACTAACAATGCTATGCTATGTGGTTATCAGACCACTGTCGACGTTATGTTTCAATTTCAATTTATCGACACTTTGACGAATCAGGACCAATCATTGTATGTCTCATGGTCGCACGTCATTTGTCCTGTGATAATATTCATCAGTAATGGAATGTTAGTCATCAATATATACATGAAATTACTGTTGGACCGTGATAATTGGTTAATACATTCACCACAATTGTGCAAATCTATTTCTCAAGTGACGTTTTTTTTAGTTAAATGAATTTATTTAGAAGACCCTGATGATAAGCACTGATATTGTTATTCAGGTCTAGACAGTTTTAGATCAATAAGTGTTTGATCTGATATTGGATTATTGAGGAAAAAAATTAAATCTGATAGTTTAGTTCTAACTTGAAATCTAAATTTATTGAGTGAAAATTTTCCTCAAGTCAACCCACTAAATATCCCGTGGGCATCAAAGTTCTTGTAAACTTGTGTAATTAACAATTTTATTAGTATCACCCAGGGGCAATAAAATTTTTTCCAATATATTCAATGCTATTAGATCCACTCACCTATATTCGGGTGTTGTAATTTCCTGCATATCCGAGCTTCTCGTTCGAGCTTCTGAAAATCTGAAAAGTAAAAAAGTAATAAATTAAGTGAACTTGTTGATTAATTAATTCTAGGATTAATTGAGAGAAATTTATTTTAATCAGTCTTATGAGTTAATTAGTGCATATTAAAATAGAGCATCATTCCCTTAGGAATCCGAATTTCAAAGAAGTCAGTGTGATTTTATTGTTCAATTATTCTATTAAGAGAAAACTTTTCGATCCTAGAAGAATTTAGATAAGTGCAAAGTTTTCTGCATGCAAGTCTCTGCATCAAGAAAAGTCTTTCTACGAGCTATGAAGAATCAATCTGTTACAGTACGTGAACTGATATTCAAAGAGGTGATTATTCACTGTTATGACCTTGACTACTTTATTTTCTGCAATGAACATTTGATGACATTAAACTTTGATATGCTCCAAGTGGAGTGCTGAAAGCTTTTCTTGGAAAAGTTATTGTTTCACTCTAGTGATGATGGAGTAAACATTATTTTCAGAACAAATGGATATAAATTTTTAAATAAAAATTTATGAGCAATAATATTAATAATTATCTAAAGAATAAAAAATTTTCCTTTCAATTTTTTTTTCTTCTATTCATCCCTTGAATACTCGCAATCTCGTGCTTTTTATTATACGACATAAAAATGTGCATTTTTATCTATGGATTTTTTTTATTGTGACAAAATATGGTAATTTAAACGGTAAATCAACGACAAATGTTACTCAATAGATCTTGTGGTGAGAAAAAAAGCTGTTTTCGACGAAGCCAATTGTCGTTAACGCCTGTTGTGGAATGCAAAGCCTTTACCCACGTGGAGACGTATGTAATTTAAGCGAAGCATCGGTAACGAATGAATATTAGGAGCGATCGTGGAACTCGAAATTCCGTCCAAAAATAACACAAGCAAGCGCACAGCCCGGTCTTGCTGCGGTGCTGTAGATAATCTTTTCGAGGATCGCTGCGGCCATTGACGAACCGAAATAACGCCGGGACCACCGGCTCGCGTGACCAACGGTACCTTATTCTTTCATATCGCTTTACAGTCTTTCGTGGATGCTCAAGTTTGGTTCAATGAACGTCAACTCAATGATACCATTTTGTACTGTTCAAATCATAAGTACTCTTATTTGCACGAATAAGAATATAAAGTCATAGAAATATCATCGATTTTTATCCTTCAAAAATGATTCTTTTCTTCACTATTTACAATTGCTTGTAACGTAATTCATTCATTATTGAAGACAAAAAATAAAGGATGTTTTTTAAATTTTAAATAGCCAGGTAATTTTGGAGTATCATCTGACGTGCATTCAAGTGTTCAAGTTGGAGATGGAAGTTTTTGAATTAATAAAAGCTCGAGAAAATAAAAAACAAAAGCTCCGAGAAATACCTAAAAATAGTAAGTATACAGTAGCTTCAGTATATTTCAAGTCATGATTATAGAATGCAACAAAAAATCTGGGAAGAAAATAACAACTATGAGACTGTTGACAGATCAACTATATAAGTATAAGCAGCGAAATAAAAAAATTTGACTTTTCAAAGAATTATTAAGATAATAATGAACAATAAAGTAACGAAGCAAAGAGAAACAGAGTGAAGTGTTGTAGTGGTTACTACCGAGCAATTTTTATCTGTCCTAAACTTATTATCAGAATATTTTACTACGTGCGAACATGTTTGCCAACGCCTTCGCTTCCTACTTTGCATGTATATATTCTTTCGTAAACTTACAAACTCAATAACTCTTAGGATTTTTTTTTCTTTTTCAAATTTCCATTGCAGTGTTGACTTCGGAGCTTTTTAAATTCAATAACTCGTGTGATTTTCGATAAAAATGCGTAGATAGATGATGATTATGAGTATAGGTCGATGTAGGATTAAAATTGAATACATACAAGTAAACATGTAAAGGTAATATGGGTGTGGCAAACATAGTATTATTGATACATAGAACATATTCATTCGGACGAGAGAAACCGATACAAAGAGGTAAGGGGAAGTGAAAGAGAAGCGTGTTAGCATCGGCCACGCGGTGCATAGTCACCGGTGAGCGGGTCGAGCGGGCACTGGGGCAAGGTCGTAGCAAGAACTCAAGAGCCGTTTCAACCCCTTTCTATCTCATTCTTTGTTTTTTTTTTTTTTCAACTTCCTCCTCTACATAGTGTTAGTTTAGCTCGTCGTACATCTCGTTTCCTCAGCTAATTTCCGTCCATTCCGTCGTTGAAGAACGGAAAAACGTCAGAATAAAGAAATAGACTTGAAGAAAATGCCAAGTAAATTAAATGGAAGCTAAAGACTTCAACTTGAATGATTTTCTCCGTTTTCTCGATTAAAGATTCTCATATTATAGGAAATGAAAGCCTTCATATTATTATCCGTAAAGTAAAGATTGAATATATATATATGTTCATATTTAATGACGGCTTTCAAGGGTGCAGCCTTACTTTAAAAAGCTTATCAGGAATAATAAGCGTGAAAAATTAATTTACACTAAGTGGGTTCGGTGGGATTAGCTTGACACAAGTCACATATTTTTCCAGAGCACGAACAGGATGCGTGACTTGTGTAATACTAAAAATTTCCAGGTTCGATTGAAATCTGCCATTGACACGCTATTGTTAATTAACGAATAATCATTTTAAGAAGTAATTTTATTTTTGAGTTGCTCTTTTAGGGCTAAAAGTTTCTATTAATGTGATTAACAATATTTATGTCTATTTTTTCATTAATTACTCACCCTAAAAGGGGATAGTAAAACTCTCAAATAATACTAAATTACTTTTCCTAATAATTCAAGTAACATCTTTAATGATATTTGCCTTGATAGCCAGTGTTTAAATAATATTAATAAATAATTCACGGAAAAATATTTATAAATGTATGAGTTACTAATGTAATTTGTCCATTATAAATTTTACTTTTAATGAGTATTTACACTTTAAAAAAATATGATTATTTTTAATTTAAAAACCCTGTATGGTATAATTAATGTGACCTAAATTTCAAATTTTTTCATATCAATATCAAGCAGAGAAAAAAAACAGAATTTTTTTTCAAATGTCATATTTGAAACATTATCGAGAAATGCCAGGTATCTGAACACTTTTAAATACTCTACTTTCTTCTCTTACAGCTAAGCCATTAACTTGATTAGCATCTACTTTTTTCTCGATTGATACGATTAAGAAGCTGGTTTGGCTTCGCACTTAGATATATTACCAATCATAAATCGTTTAGCTTATCTCATCTTTAAAAATAGTATATCTATTTGATTTAATTACAAAAATAGTATATTGAATAAAAATAATAATTAAGTCATATTTCTCTTTGTAGATTTATAGCCCTAAAATCGTAGTATACAACCAGACGCTGAAACCGTTTGTAGTGTTACTCACAAAGGAATTTTTGGCATTGTGACAACGACGTTGCTTGTTGTTTTTAGATGCCAGACGTCGGGAGTGTTAGTGAAAACGCGACGTGAGTTCTCAAGACCGGCGTCTTTTGTTAAATATTTTCCGTCTTGGTTCATTTAATTTTTCAATAATTTTATATTAAATATTCGCGAATTTATTTAACTTGAACAATGTCATCACGTTATCTTGACGATTATTCGTATGACAGGTGTGAACTGAAAAATTGTTAAGTGAATTCTCAGTAGTCATAACATTATTACAGAGCTATATTTTGCTTGGTTGGTCATTGCAATAAATCAAAACTCATATAAACTAACCTCTTTGCGATAGCTTTTTTGTATTGATGATTTTCGCAGCAAATTCAAGTCCCGTGCTTTTTTGCACACATCGTCGAACCACCGAGAAGGCACCCCTGTAAGCAAAAAAAATGATTACCTTTTTAATTTTTATATACAATGTTATTTAAATATATTTGAATATTTAATCAAATTAAGAATAGTAACTTGTTTCGTAAATCTTATGTCCGTATGATAATTTGTCGTTGGTATATAATAATATCACAAATATCTAGACATCCAACTTTGCAAGAGAACATTTGCACGATGTCAGTACTAACTCTAGCATTGTGCATTGCCTTCGGCTACCTGGAAAGTAAACTTTCCCGATTATCTAGCCAACGTCGTACAGAATGACATATCGAGCTCCTAAAAGTTTCATCCTACTTTTAGAGGAATAAAATGTGATAAAAAAAGGTGTTTAAGGATGAAAATTTGTTTAACTAATACTTAAATAATGTGTGTTACGATTTTTATCGGTATTGTATTACATTTTTGAATAAAAGTGGAATTTAGAGAAGAGAAACAATGAATAAATGTCACTTGATGAACGAACAAACCGCGTAAACTGAAAAAAGTTGAATGAAAAATTGTACAAATGTTTTTTGTAGACAAAAAGAAAAATTCACCAACACAAAATTTTTTAATATACCACACCAAAAAACAACCTCTTTCATGGTCGCAACGAATTGAAGGTCTGTTTCGGTAACAATTATGATGTTCGTTCATGAAGCTAGCATATGCTGTAAAAAATTTCTTCAGAATCAAACCCTCAATCTATTTTAGTAAAATAAAATTGTTGTGTAGCATCAAATATGAGCAACATATTTGCTGATGATAAAATGAAATTTATTGAAAAATTATAAAACAATCAATGTCAAGGTGAAACATGACGTATATATTGACACAATTATTATTAATAAAAATATCTATGCATTATTATTTAGATACTTGATCGATAATTAATCAATGCTCAAATACAATAAAAAGTAATGATAATAATTAATTAATTTAGTTATGTATTGATTCAATAACGATTATGATGTAGCGAACAAAGCTTATTTAGTGTGTGTGTATTGATTGTCTGACACAGGATAATATTACTACTCAATAATGAAGATAATATTCTAAATAAATTTAATTAATTAAACCCAGTGTAATACAATGTTCTGATTTGATTATTCAAGTTTTATTACTCAAATAAGAATTAATCTAAGGATATTACAACTTCTAATGTACAGCAACGTGATAATAAATTAATTTCATACAGAGTAAAATACACTCTAGAGAAAACGCAAATTGTGTTTATTATCCATTCAAAAAGTCTTACAGAAGAAGAAAAAATTTCACAGGTTTCTTGTTTATAATAAAAGTTATAGGAATTTTTTTATCAAAGCATTTATTACTTTTCTTTTTCTATTTTTAAATTGAAAATAAAAATTCAATGCACTATATTGTATAAAATCAATTATGTAATAAAAATTAATTGATTCACCCACATTGAAATGTTTCATTTTTTTTTTCATTTGTTTAAAATTCACTTTTTTGAAATGGATATTTTTTTTTGCAAAAAAAGGGAGTTTCCAATTTGCTCCAATATTCATATCTCGAAGAATAGAAAGACACAAAAGCATCGCTAAGAGAATTCTTTTCCTTTTATTATCAAAGGTTAAAATCTATTTTTATATTTCAGCTTCTTCTAATAAAACCTATATTTTTCTACAAAAACCTGCTCTCTGTCCACATAGGTAATGTAATTTGTTGGGACGAATGGATGTTCTGGAAAATTAATTGAGAAAACGGTAGATAAATGTGGAGACAACGAGCACGTTACAAGGAAAAAAAAATATAAAATATTTTTTATGACTTTTTCTTAAGTAATTGAATAAAATATAAACCAATAGCAATAATTTATTTTTCTATATCCACTTTAATTATCAATTCCTATCAATCATCTATCCCCAAAATTACATTTTTAATTGTCCAATTTATTCCTGGATGGCATTTCATATTGGAAAAAATGTTTTTAACAAGCATTTAAGTAAAGTGTTTTTCGTTTTCGTTCAACCTAAAAGAGTTTTTTATTTACCTGATCGTGTCAATAAAAAGATATTGTCAAGAACTGTCACATAACCAATTCAGAATGTCAATATGCATTACATCAAATGAAAATAAAGAGAAAAAAGGTTAGAGATAAAATAATGCCACCAGGGAAATTCAGTCAGTAAGTTAACCAGGAAACTCAGTAACTAGGCCGCAGTGGTGACATAGAGATATGAAGGAAGGTTACTTTCAAAGGCCACCGACCACACTGTGCTTCATCAAATTCAGTATGTCTCATCTCATCCATTTCTAAATTATACCTGGTACTAACATAACCATTTCATGGATCACGATTTTCTCTATAAGTTCAAAAAAAAATAGAATTATTACTTTTGCAAACGTTCCATTCTCATTTAATTAAATATAGAAAATGACAACCATTTGATTAAAAGTAAAAAACTGATGTGTTGAATTTAATAATAAATTTTTCCCTAATCATTGAAAGTCCTTTAAAAATACTTCATATGTTAAATCTCATTATATACTTCACTTAATTTTATGACATATACCAATACCTGGATATCTTTACTCGTTATACTTATAACCTGTAAACAAATACTAGTCCAGACTTCATATTGATCTTCATTCTCCCTAAGCGACGACGTCCTTCGATCTCTCGACCTATTTTCTACATTCTACAAGGCCAGTGTGATAAAAATACAAAAGCATCTGAAAACTCCCTTATATGTGTATGTTTTGATTAGTTATATTTTTCCTCGTATTCCACTAACCCCTAAAAGTTATCGAAAGTTTCCCTCGTTTGTTGTGGAGTAAAAAATATCCAATTCATTGTACACATGTTGTATAACTAGAGCGTCAGAATAAACAAAATATGAGATAAAAATCAAACAAAAGCAGCTAGAGTAGACATTAAATAAAAAGTACATTAGCCAGCGTAAAATAAATACTATTATAGACAACGCAATCAATGTTTGCCTCTATTTTGGATATTTATTTTCTTTTTGGAAAATAATTGTTCATTTAAATTTTCAAATAACAACAAAATGAATAATTGAAATTTCTTCAATTAAAAAAGCTTTCCAATGTTCCATTAATATTTAAAATCATATTGTGTAATGGTTGAAAAAAAAAAACGTTAAATTAATCTATCGAGTGTTATAAAGTTCAAATATTTATACGAATAAAAATTATTACAGAAATATTGAAACACATTATATTCGGTTAAATTATTACATCATTCTATGTAATAATTAATCAAAATCTTGTTAATCATAAATAAAAGAATCTGTAGTTTATTTTTCTTTTATAATTAAATACTTAACATTATCGTTAATGAAAATATGCCATAGAGGTTGTTGTAACGAAAAAATGTTTGAAATCATTTAGGAACATCTCAAAGTATACAAGGGAAAATTAGTCGCATGAGAAACCGCGTAACTGCAAAGCGCATTTCCATGCTCCACGAGCCATGTCATGTTGCTCCCACGTAACACACATCAAAACTAATCAAGTCATGACGCATGTATTTCTCTTTATATTTAATGCTTCGTGTTATTATAATATCCGAATGTAACATAAAAGTCTAACACACTGCAAACTTGAAATGTTTTTATTTCTTCATACTTTGAAGTCGTTGGCTCGGAAATCTATGTCCCAGGTGTGCATAAAAGACGAAAAAATTAAGTATGACGTTTCGTAAACGGAAACGTAACCATTCTGGTCACGGAAGCTCGACCTCCTCTTTTATGTTAACCCATTTATTTCATTCTCTTGCTGAGAAATAATGGTAAAGATAACGATAGAAACGTCGTCTTTAGTGACGCAAATTCAAGCTTCTTTTCTTTGTCTTTTATATTTACGTCAATGTCGACGCAATTCTATTATACTTCAAATTCTAAAAATCCAACAAAAAAAATTGCTTTGTTCTGTTGTATTACTTACATTCTAATAAATTCAATTTAAAATCTCTCCATTTTTTATATGAGAGTTTTACCTTTATAATTTATATGTTCTTTTTTTGATCAGACATCTAGTCACGTAATTCATCTTTTTTTTTTTCAATATGTACAAATGTATGTGAATGAACGTAGATGAGAATGAAAATAAATGGTATAGTTTTTTAATTAACTTCCTTGTCTATTCATAACATCCACAGGATAAGAATTATGTTGAAATCTGCACATATATATACGAGTGATAAGCTTCGTACGAAAAATAGTAAACCTGTCTTAATTCTCAGTTTTTTTTTTTTTTTCAAAAACGTTGTACGTGAGGAGATTACTGTGATAAGTGAACTCGAAGAAATAAGTGTATATCCACTAAGTGCAGATACTTCAGGGGTTGAAAAATCTGATAAAATTGTAAAATTTTTTTTTTATTGAAAAAATATTTATCCTTCAAGATTTTATATCTTGTTGAAAATACGAATACTTTAGCTAAAGAGTTTATTTCAACTAAAAATAACTCAGATGCTTGATGTTATACAATCTTTAATATCTTATTTAATTGAAAAGTTACTTTGTAAATTAATAAATTATAGTCGCATGTTCAATGCTACTAAACTCTTTTATGCAATATTATATCTCAGAAGAAGGAATCAAAACATTAAAAATAAAAATTTAATTTAATTAAACAATATGCTTTTTGGAGTAATTTAGTTTTTTTTTTTTTATTCAGTCAAACAAGAAAGCTACAACTAATTTTGAAATTTAACAGTTAACTTATTCTGACGACGGTTGTTTAATTAATAGTTTGTATTAACTGCCTTCACCGTACTTATATGTAACTTCTCAAAGCCTTGCAAAGTTACCTCTGAAGATTATGAATACATTATAATATTCATCACTTACTAAAAGTACAACAATCCATCATCATATATCATAAATTTGTAAACATAGCTTTAGAATAACTCGAATTGCATCTTTCATCATTCAGTAGTTACATTATCTGTCCACTTTTCCGTTAACATTATTATGTAATACGGAACTCTCCTCTTTAATTAATCGTCATAGTT